ATAGCTTAATGATGTTTGAAAAAGGCCCTCTGAAAGAAAGGTGCACTGTGAAATAAGCCGCCAAGGATGTACAAATGGGAATATGCACTCAAGGAATTCTTATATTAAGATGACCAGGGCTTTCTAAAAACGGGGACAAAGTTAATTAACTCCAGGGAATAAACAAATTGCTCTCGCGGGTACCTCACTGCTGGAATGCGTATAGGGGCAAAAATTTCCATACATGACAATCCAGGGCGCCCAGTGTGGGAGGGTGGGGCAGTAAGTTGTTTGCGATCAGGGGTGGGAGGAGGTGGGGATAGCAACCAAAGACAGGGGTCCAGGACCGTGGATGGGGCCGGAAGGGACGCAGTCTCCAGGGACATGGTGACGTGCATTCGACGTCTTTGATAGAAACTTGGCTGGGACGGGAAAGATTGTGCAGTCATATTGTCAGGCGCGAGGGCTCAGGAGTATGAGGGATCATATATAGTTTTAAGAGCACCTTTTTTGTTGACATTCTGTATATAGCTTGATTGTTAAAGATTAATTTAAATGGACAGATGTTGGGACAAACCGTGGAAGAATCTGCTTTGGTCGGTGTCGTCTCTTTTGCATCGATTTGGATACGGTCAGTCAAAGGGAATTTAATGACTTTGACAGAATGACCGGCAGGGACTGGAGGGCTGTAGACCCAGGACTGAGTGCTGTAGTGACCCAGACTGAGGCGGTAGACGTCGAGGACGTGACGGACTGTGAGACGCGGCTAGGACTTGAGGGCTCGGTAGGACGGCCCAGGACTAGTAGGCTGTAGGAACAAGGCGGGTTGAGTGACTGAGGCTGTAGGAACTCAGTGAGCTGAGGCTTGGTAGAGCAGCCATTAGGACAGAGGCTGTTTTACACCAGGAACTGAGACATTAGTAGCATCCAAGAGAGATCGGTCCAAGGTCGCCGCGCCTGGGTCGTGGCGGCGGATTCTATGGGTACTTAAGTTTGGAATGTGATTTTTACAGTTGGCACAGACTTTGTGTGCAAGGAATTTTGTATAAAAACACCAAGCTCTGCTTGAGCACACACCCACTACGACACGAGCACACGAACATCACACACATAGCGGGGGGGGGTCGGGTACGTTTTTAGTTACCCTTGGTGGGGTCCTTTTGACCAGGGGCCAGTTCAGAATGGGACTCGTCATTAGACATAATCTTTTTGTACCCAAGACTTTAAGTAATCACAAAAAACAGTCAATAAGAAACGGGTCAAATGCTAACTATATTAAGGTAATTTTTGATTTTAGACTTTTGTTACTCGAATTGCAGTGATTCTATTATTGTGACATTATTAATTTAAGGCCGACTCCCAAACCCATGTCTCGTGTCTGAATGTGCATTTTCTGGTTGAAGGCTATTATGCAAGGCCAGAGGTAAAAACGGGGGGGGGGGGGGGGGGGGGGGGGGGGGGGGGGGGGGGGGGGGGGGGGGGGGGGGGGGGGGGGGGGGGGGGGGGGGGATGGGGGGAGGGGGGGAAATATGGGGGGGGGGGGGAGGCAGTGGAGGTTCCTGGGCAGGATGACCTATTCGCAGTCATGTATGAAATGGTGTCATGGTCTTGCTCCTAGCAGCCGTTCTACTCTCAAGGATGCAGACGCATGGCTTTCCTTACATCGTTCTAGAGGAAGAGAAATAAAAATGGATATTAGCAATAAGCCACTTCCCATGGGTGTGGACTAAATCAGTGCCTGGCTTGGTAAGTCCATCGCCCCACCTGGGTACACTTACAGAAGGGTCACTGGCTCGAAGCAACCATGGGGTGCATCTGGATGAATGGTCGAAAAGGAGGTGTCTCGCCCGCTTTGAAGTTTCTTTTAGCCCCAGTTGCCCACCGTTTTTGTGAGAGGATACTCTTACTGGCATCGTTCCCTGTCAGCACGAAGAATAAAAATACAAGTGCTCTTTTAGGGGAAAGAAAATCCCATACTATTTTAATTAATATCAAGAATTCAACCGTCTATGCAATTGGCATGCATATTTGTATTCTAGGTGCGAGGCTGCTTTCTATCGAATTCCGTCACTGCTTTCCCATGCTACCATGGCCTTATCATACACCTATTGCTGAGTTTTGGCGCTTAGCACCATTGTCCGCCGTCTGGTAGTTGCTAGGTGAAATAGTTGGGCCATGTTGGATGGTCGATGTCAGGGTCCGACAGGAAGTTGGCAAGTATGTCCAGTAAACTCATTCTCTTCTCATATTGAGAACTGTAGACATAGGTAGCTTGTGGTGCTTTCGTTAAGTTTGTTGAGGATAAGCATCTCTAGGATGCACCGCAACGCACATTCTTTGGCTTAACGCTGGCGTAAGTATGTAGCTGATCTCCCTGAATGGTGGGTGTCTGGCGTCCGCGGGCGGTAAAATGAAAGTATGGGTCTATGTTCAGAGATGGAAGTCAGGTGCCCCTTGTCTGTTCTCCACACAGGCGAACCCTCCTATCGCAGGCAATCATTTCAGGAGTGCAAAGAACCGGCAGCTTGTACTTTGCGACTTCTTGTCCCTTAATTTCAATGCGTTGAAAATGCTGACACAGCTTTTGCTGCAAGTTGGTGGACAGTTGCCGCTAGAGCAATGTCAGAATGGTATCCGGCGAGTCTTACTTCTATAGGTAAAGGCTGCTCAGTGGCAGTCTTTGGTAAACCTCCACCTTGGCCCTTCATATCGGAGTGAAAATTGATGGACCTATCACAAAGAGTCAAAACTGTCCAGTTTAAGAAGCGGCAATGCTTAGACGTTGGCCTCACTTATATTAGGGGTGATTGCACATATTGGCCAGGTACGACATAGCGCTCCAATATGTGCATGGCATTGCTCTAACGTCCTCAGTCCAGCAGGGAGAGCAGGGTCCGGGATGTGTTGCCTAGGCTTGGCTTATAGCGCGGGGAAGGTGGTCTGGTAGGGCAGGTCAGAAGAGAAACAGCAGACGAAGTCCCACTCTACCTCAATTCTTCTGCATTAAAAAGCTTCAGCCGGGCTTCTTGGAAGGTTTTGTATAAATAGATTCAATGCAACACAATGCTCCATTTTTGAGTCAGCATTCAAGAATACTATGGTGCTTTAGAGCTTTCTGAGGCTTTAGATGGCGGCGAAGTTGAGGGCACAAGGATAGGAGTCTTTTGTATTGATTTGTGTTCGCATCATCATACCAGGCCGAGACAGACCGTGACTGCATCAATCCACAATGGTTAAAGTTGGAAGAAATCACTAAGTAAATCCTTGACTTGTTTTCAGTGTTCCAGCTGCGGTTTTCTGCGTATCGTAATTAACCTACCGACTACTCTCACTTTTCTGGCCTATGTAATTCATGCTTAGTTCTATATCCAATGGCCGGCGTGTTTTATAGATACAGGTGCTCATCCGAGTGCTCAGAATCCTCCTTTTCTGTTCTTGCTACAACGCCGTAGACACTTCATCCTGATGGCATTGTCCAGAAATTAAAGATCAGGCACCAGCTTTTTTGATTGCTGGAATGGCCACTCCGGTACATAAGGCTGGTGAAGGGAGCAGAGTGGACTGACCCCAACTTCTACCTTGGTTTATGGGCCTTGGCTATTCATTCTGTGAAAAGAGAGCCGCTATCCTGTGCTCACAATGCCTCCATGCATGCGACTAGTTTTCGGCTGTAGCAAATGCCCGCACAGTCTGATATTCAAGCAAAAACTCACGTGGATTTAACTGGTGAATTTGGCTGTTAGGGTATTTTCTGGACTAAAAGTTCCAAAGTGCCGGTCCTTTTTATAACCTCGAAAATTGTGCTCACGGTGTTACGGCACTAATCTAGATCTAAATCAATTACTTGGAAAGTTTACGTTGCTTTAGATTGTCACAGAGTAGGAGCCAATCAATGCACTGGCTATCGTCAGCTTTCATGGGTCATGTTGTTCTAGTATCAAATGACGGTACATTTTGTAGGGGGGTGGCAGAACATTGAACAGTAGAAGCGGGGGCAGAAGACGTTCTGACTTGCTGGTAAAGCTCGACCCCCCCATTTTTCTTCTTTTAGCAGCATGGCTATATAACAATCTTATTTGCCTATGGTGGGTTCTGTCCCAGCTTGTCGGCGAGTCTTTGCAAGAACAATGTTTTTGATTTTTTCTTTTTCTCATACTTTTTACAGGTTTCTTCATTGACAGTTAAATCAGTCAGAATCTCTAGTTCGTCTTTCATCAATATAGGGGATGTTAAGTACATGGGGGGGGCTCTTGACTAAGGCTGTGCAGCAAACAACAAATAATTTGTAATTTCATTATGATATTAACAATTTGAAGTCATGACTTGTATGTGCAGCACTTACCAAGTGTGAGTTGTAAGCGTGGGCGCTTCAGTGTGTCTGCCTCCAATGTTTTCTTGCAGCTCATAATAACCAGCACCAACACTTGTGCAGGACCATTTGTACTAGCCCGACACTGATTGTCCTCTGTTGTGTGCTGCTTCCATGATTGTCTCCAGCCATGCTGAGGACTGAAAGTTGCTTATTGCCTCAGTGTGCCCCCTCTTTGATATTCACCGTGCAACCCAACTCACTCAGGGGTATGCTCGAACATAATACACAACTTTTTTCAGGGAAAGTATAATCTCTCACAGGGTCCTTTCCATATTTTTACAAGAGACTTGCCAGTAAGGGAGCCGTTAGAATAGCGATTAGACCCTATTGATTATTAAGGCTTGGACCAGGGGGCGTGCCAGTGTTTTCTGCGGTGCGAAGGTTCCCCACCAAGCAAGTAAAACCGACGGTGCCCGCATGACTTGAGTGGAATCAACAGTTTTATGGAACCTGACACGCATGAGTTGAAACCAAGTGCACATTCCCACACACACACACACACACACACAATCAGAGACAAGCACACACACAGGACAATGAGATGAGGCACACGTACACACAGACGAGAGGAAACACAGGTGGCACACATAGTGCTCGAAGCACTCACGAGCACACCCACAACAAGTCAGCACACACTACCGCACGAGCATCAGTAGTCACTAGCAGACACAGTCACTACACAACGACACACGCACACAACACGACACGAGGAGGAGCAGAGACATAGCGATTTCACACACAGACAAGAGATACACACCCACACGAGGACAGTATAGTACACACATCACACAGACAGACGATACACACACACATAGTCTCATCATCACACACACAGCACACACACAATCACACACACGTAGTCAGCGAACACACGCACAGCATCAGCACGATGGAGGACACACAGCACGTCACAGTAACACAGTCATCACACGACGAGTAACACTACAGCACTACAGTAGCAACATACACAATCACACACACAAGTCACACACACAGCGCACACACCAGGCAGGTTCAACTACACTACACAACCACACACACACACACACAGCACACACACACACAGGCAGACAGAGATAACAGGCACACACTATCAGTGCTCAGCACACACCACACACACTATATGTCTGGTCACATCACACATAGAAAGCACACACATAAGTGCTCCACACACACAGCACACATCACATGAGATCACGACAATTCAGTCGAACACAGCGACACGACACACGTATGTTCAGTTACGGCAGCATTTTAATGGAAATAACAAAAACAGCAACTGAAATGCTGTGACTGTACATGTGAATTTAGATTAAAGTTATATAAAATTCAAGTTCTGTCGTTTGTGGTTTACACCAACTCGAAAAGAAAGCAGTAGACGCAGAGGATAGAGACCAATAAGAGAGAGCTAGAGTGTAGAGTGGTTTGATTATTAGCAGGTTTTATATAGTAGACCAGACGAGAGACGCAGTGAGAATGAGAGACCTGAGAGAGACCAGGGAGAGAGAGCTACAGGAGGACGACCAGAAGAGAGGACCCCAGAGAGAGACCAGATAGAGAGGATCGTGCAGAGAGAGACCAGAAGAAGAGGACCCGAGAAGAGAGACCAAGAGATGAGAGCGCTAGAGAGAGACCATGAGAAGAGACCAAGAGGAGAGAACGGGAATAGAGTGAGGACGCAGAGAGAGACTGAAGAGGAGGAGAACCAGTAGAAGTAGACTAAGAGAGAGTAGTGCGACAGGAAAAGACCAGTAGTCTGAGAGTACCTGTAGAGATGATCCTGAGCGTGAGGAGTAGACCTGAGAGGAGACCAAGAGGAGGAACAGAGAGAAGACCAGCGAGAGACGCGATAAGAAGAGACCGAAGACGGAGGTAGGGAATCCTAGATAGAGCAGACTCTGAGAGAGAGAACGAGAGGAGAGAATATCTCAGATCTGACGAAGGACCAGGAGAGAGACCAGAGAGAGACGCAGTAGAGTTAGACCGTCCTAGAGGGTGGACGCAGAGAGAGACCAGAGAGAGACCGAAGGGAGGTAGGGGAGAGATACGCATAGATAGGAGACCAAGAGGGAGCCCAGAAAGCTACCAGGAGAGAGGGAGGGGACCAAAGAGAGATCAAGAAGGAGGATACCAGAGAGGAGGACATGAGAAGAGAATCAGTAAGAGGATAGACCAGAGAGGTGGGACTTCACCCAGGAGTAGGAGACGCAAGAAATAGTAACATCAGTATCATCAGTAGTATCATCAGTATCATCAGTAGTATCAGTAGAATCATCAGTATCATCAGTAGTATCATCAGTATCATCAGTATCATCAGTAGTATCATCAGTATCATCAGTATCATCATCAGTATCATCAGTATCATCAGTAGTATCATCAGTATCATCAGTATCATCATCAGTATCATCAGTATATCATCAGTAGTATCATCAGTATCATCAGTAGTATCATCAGTATCATCAGTAGTATCATCAGTATCATCAGTAGTATCATCAGTATCATCAGTAGTATCATCAGTATCATCAGTAGTATCATCAGTATCATCAGTAGTATCATCAGTAGTATCATCATCAGTATCATCAGTATAATCAGTATCATCAGTAGTATCATCAGTATCATCATCAGTATCATCAGTATCATCAGTAGTATCATCAGTATCATCAGTAGTATCATCAGTATCATCAGTAGTATCAGTAGAATCATCAGTATCATCAGTATCATCAGTAGTATCATCAGTATCATCATCAGTATCATCAGTAGTATCATCAGTATCATCAGTAGTATCAGTAGAATCATCAGTATCATCAGTAGTATCATCAGTATCATCAGTATCATCAGTAGTATCATCAGTATCATCAGTATCATCAGTAGTATCATCAGTATCATCAGTAGTATCATCAGTATCATCATCAGTATCATCAGTAGTATCATCAGTATCATCAGTAGTATCATCAGTATCATCAGTAGTAACATCAGTATCATCAGTAGTATCATCAGTATCATCAGTAGTATCATCAGTATCATCATCAGTATCATCAGTAGTATCATCAGTAGTATCATCAGTATCATCAGTAGTATCATCAGTATCATCAGTAGTAACACCATTATCATCAGTAGTATCAGTAGTATCATCATCAGTATCATCAGTATCATCAGTATAATCAGTATCATCAGTATCATCAGTAGTAACATCAGTATCATCAGTAGTATCATCAGTATCATCAGTAGTATCATCAGTATCATCAGTATCATCAGTATAATCAGTATCATCAGTAGTATCATCATCAGTATCGTCAGGTGTTGCTTCTGTTCTTCACTTCTGTGATTCTCAGTGTCCTGCAGTACTGTAACGCTGTGTGGTACAGCTGTCTCTCTGTCACTGCTAAATCTGGACTGAGACACTTGATTAAAATCTGCTCAAAGATTGTAGGACAGCCCCTGGATGGACTGTACGAGGCTGCATACCATAGCAACACACTGCGACTGGCTAAGAACATCACTTCAGACCCCGGCCATGTTCTGAACCTCGAATATGCGCTGTTACCATCAGGGCGGCGGTACCGTGTGCCACATTTGAATAAAGTCAGGTTGAGGAACTCCTTTGTCCATCAGTCCATCCTGAAGCTAAACGAGGATCTTAAGTCATAAAATCAAAGTGTGTTATGGCGAGCGGACAATTGTTTATAATGTCTTTGTGAATTGTCTTATACCTGTATGTCTTGTTTGTATTTTTACGGAGCTGCTGAACTGCAAAACAAATTTCGGATCCTTGTATCTGACAATAAAGCATTTATCTATCTATCTATCATCAGTATCATCAGTATCATCAGTAGTATCATCGTCAGTATCATCAGTATCATCAGTAGTAACATCAGTATCATCAGTATCAACAGTAGTAACATCAGTATCATCAGTAGAATCAGTATCATCAGTATCATCAGTATCATCAGTAGTATCATCAGTATCCATCTGATACTGGTACATCACTGTCATCAGTACCTGTTCCGTCCGGAGTTGCAGTAGAATAATCAGTATCATCAGTATCATCAGTAGTATCATCAGGATCATCAGTATCATTAGTAGAATCATCAGTATCATCAGTAGTATCATCAGGATCATTAGTAGAATCATCAGTATCATCAGTAGTATCAGTAGAATCATCAGTAGTATCATCAGTATCATCAGAATCATCAGTAGTATCATCAGTATCATCAGTAGTATCATCAGTAGTATCATCAGTATCCATCTGATACTGGTACATCACTGTCATCAGTACCTGTTCCGTCCGGAGTTGCAGTAGAATAATCAGTATCATCAGTATCATCAGTAGTATCATCAGGATCATCAGTATCATTAGTAGAATCATCAGTATCATCAGTAGTATCATCAGGATCATTAGTAGAATCATCAGTATCATCAGTATCATCAGTAGTATCAGTAGAATCATCAGTAGTATCATCAGTATCATCAGAATCATCAGTAGTATCATCAGTATCATCATCAGTATCATCAGTAGTATCATCAGTATCATCAGTATCAGCAGTAGTAACATCATTATCATCAGTAGTATCATCATCAGTATCATCAGTAGTATCATCATCAGTATCATCAGTAGTATCATCAGTATCATCAGTAGTAACATCAGTATCATCAGTAGTATCATCAGTATCATCAGTATCATCATCAGTATCATCAGTAGTATCATCAGTATCATCAGTAGTATCATCAGTATCATCAGTAGTATCATCAGTAGTATCATCAGTAGTATCATCATCAGTATCATCAGTATAATCAGTATCATCAGTAGTATCATCAGTATCATCATCAGTATCATCAGTATCATCAGTAGTATCATCAGTATCATCAGTAGTAACATCAGTATCATCAGTAGTATCAGTAGAATCATCAGTATCATCAGTATCATCAGTAGTATCATCATCAGTATCATCATCAGTATCATCAGTATCATCAGTAGTATCATCAGTATCATCAGTAGTATCATCAGTATCATCATCAGTATCATCAGTAGTATCATCAGTATCATCAGTAGTAACATCAGTATCATCAGTAGAATCATCAGTATCCATCAGTATCATCAGTAGAATCATCAGTATCATCAGTAGTATCACCAGTATCCATCAGTATCATCAGTAGAATCATCAGTATCATCAGGATCATCAGTAGTATCATCAGTATCATCAGTATCATCAGTAGTATCATCAGTATCATCAGTACCTGTTCCGTCCGGAGTTGCTCTCACAAACGTGGGCAGCATCTTGACCGGAGCTTTGTGATGAGTTTGTTTGTCCAGACCTCGGATCATGTCCCGAGTAAAACGAGACGAGATCTCTCTGAGCGAGTCCATAGAGAGAGAGAGCGACTGCAGCCTCCGGGTCACCTGTGAGAATACTCGAGTACTTTAGAGCGAGTCCAGCGAGAGAGAGAGCGACTGCAGCCTCCGGGTCACCTGTGAGAATACTCGAGTACTTTAGAGCGAGTCCAGAGAGAGAGAGAGAGACTGCAGCCTCCGGGTCACCTGTGAGAATACTCGAGTACTTTAGAGCGAGTCCAGCGAGAGAGAGAGAGACTGCAGCCTCCGGGTCACCTGTGAGAATACTCGAGTACTTTATAACGAGTCCAGAGAGAGAGAGAGAGAGACTGCAGCCTCCGGATCACCTGTGAGAATACTCAAGTACTTTAGAGCGAGTCTAGAGAGAGAGAGACTGCAGCCTCCGGATCACCTGTGAGAATACTCGAGTACTTTAGAGCGAGTCCAGAGAGAGAGAGAGAGACTGCAGCCTCCGGGTCACCTGTGAGAATACTCGAGTACTACTTCTCAGCTCCGAGCTCCTGCTGTGGATCAGCTCCTCTGTGTTCAAGACCTCTTTACTTCAGTTTATGGTTATGAAGGATCTACAGCCTCAGTCCTGGGTCTACAGCCTCAGTCCTGGGTCTACAGCCTCAGTCCTGGGTCTATAGCCTCAGTCCTGGGTCTATAGCCTCAGTCCTGGATCTACAGCCTCAGTCCTGGGTCTATAGCCTCAGTCCTGGGTCTATAGCCTCAGTCCTGGATCTACAGCCTCAGTCCTGGATCTACAGCCTCAGTCCTGGGTCTACAGCCTCAGTCCTGGGTCTATAGCCTCAGTCCTGGATCTACAGCCTCAGTCCTGGGTCTACAGCCTCAGTCCTGGGTCTACAGCCTCAGTCCTGGGTCTATAGCCTCAGTCCTGGGTCTACAGCCTCAGTCCTGGATCTACAGCCTCAGTCCTGGGTCTACAGCCTCAGTCCTGGGTCTACAGCCTCAGTCCTGGATCTACAGCCTCAGTCCTGGATCTACAGCCTCAGTCCTGGGTCTATAGCCTCAGTCCTGGGTCACTACCATGGAAACGAACAGAGTGTGTTTCAACATGTGGAGACAGGACCGAGGCGTGGCTCTGATCCAGTGGAAAACTACTGACGAAGACGAGTTTCAACATCAGAGACGAAGACGTGATGAAGACATCAGCTTCAGATTAGGCCTTTAATACACGCACTATACTATTGTAACTACGACGACTGCAGCTCACTCTCTCTCTTTCTTCATAAAAAGAGAGATGAATGAATCTCAGACGTTGTTGAAACTTGTCGACTGTAAAAACAAACAAAAAACAGACGTTGTTCTTTACGCAACGGTCCCAGAGCCTCGTTTCCACCATCCCCACTTTATCTGGTACTGTATCCTAGCAACCAACCAACAACAAACCAGTGATCAGGGAAATTCCTTGGCAACCATGGCTTCCAGCAGCACTCTGAGAGTACAGTAGAGTAGAGTAGAGTAGAGTAGAGTAGAGTAGAGTAGAGTAGTGTAGAGTAGAGTAGAGTAGAGTAGAGTAGAGTAGAGTAGAGTAGAGTAGAGTAGAGTAGAGTAGTGTAGAGTAGAGTAGAGTAGAGTAGAGTAGTGTAGAGTAGAGTAGAGTAGAGTAGAGTAGAGTAGTGTAGAGTAGTGTAGAGTAGAGTAGAGTAGAGTAGAGTAGTGTAGAGTAGTGTAGAGTAGAGTAGAGTAGAGTAGAGTAGTGTAGAGTAGTGTAGAGTAGAGTAGAGTAGTGTAGAGTAGAGTAGAGTAGAGTAGAGTAGAGTAGAGTAGTGTAGAGTAGAGTAGAGTAGAGTAGAGTAGAGTAGTGTAGAGTAGAGTAGAGTAGAGTAGTGTAGAGTAGAGTAGAGTAGAGTAGAGTAGTGTAGAGTAGTGTAGAGTAGAGTAGAGTAGAGTAGAGTAGTGTAGAGTAGAGTAGTGTAGAGTAGTGTAGAGTAGAGTAGAGTAGAGTAGAGTAGAGTAGTGTAGAGTAGTGTAGAGTAGAGTAGAGTAGAGTAGTGTAGAGTAGAGTAGAGTAGAGTAGAGTAGTGTAGTGTAGAGTAGTGTAGAGTAGAGTAGAGTAGAGTAGAGTAGAGTTGAGTATAGTAGAGTAGAGTAGAGTAGAGTAGAGTAGAGTAGAGTAGAGTAGAGTAGAGTAGAGTAGTGTAGAGTAGAGTAGAGTAGAGTAGTGTAGTGTAGAGTAGAGTAGAGTAGAGTAGTGTAGAGTAGAGTAGAGTAGAGTCGAGTCGAGTAGAGTAGAGTAGAGTAGAGTAGAGTAGAGTTGAGTAGAGTAGAGTAGAGTAGAGTAGAGTAGAGTAGAGTAGAGTAGAGTAGAGTAGAGTAGAGTAGAGTAGAGTAGAGTAGAGTAGAGTAGAGTAGTGTCGAGTCGAGACTTAAGCCTGAGAAGGAGTAGAGGACATAACAGGGGCCACCAGGATAGGCCCCAGACCCAGACTTGACACTAGGGACCAGGAGACCCCACTTGGTCCCATCTGTGTGTTGGTTCCTGTTGTAATGTTCAGTAGATTTATCCTCTTCCATCTCAGACATGACTGAACCCCAAAACTTTAAAACCAGATTCTGCAGATTTACCTCGGCCAAAGTCTGGTCGTCCTCCATTCTGTGACTGCTCCTCTTCATCTCTGGGCTCACCTGAAAGAAGAACAACAAGGTATACAGATGGACAATGCTAACATGCTAGCTCAATAAAGCCCAACAGAGAAGTGCTCATGGTGAAGTTTGACTTCTGTTGACTCCTCTAACTCAGACCAATTTGGTCTTGAATAATCTCTGGTCTGGTCTCTCTCTGGTCTCTCTCTCTGGTCTCTCTCTGGTCTCTCTCTGGTCTCTCTCTGGTCTCTCTCTGGTCTCTCTCTGGTCTCTCTCTGGTCTCTCTCTGGTCTCTCTCTCTGGTCTCTCTCTGGTCTCTCTCTGGTCTCTCTCTGGTCTCTCTCTGGTCTCTCTCTCTGGTCTCTCTCTGGTCTCTCTCTGGTCTCTCTCTGGTCTCTCTCTGGTCTCTCTCTCTGGTCTCTCTCTCTGGTCTCTCTCTGGTCTCTCTCTGGTCTCTCTCTGGTCTCTCTCTGGTCTCTCTCTGGTCTCTCTCTGGTCTCTCTCTGGTCTCTCTCTGGTCTCTCTCTGGTCTCTCTCTGGTCTCTCTCTGGTCTCTCTCTGGTCTCTCTCTCTGGTCTCTCTCTGGTCTCTCTCTGGTCTCTCTCTGGTCTCTCTCTGGTCTCTCTCTGGTCTCTCTCTCTGGTCTCTCTCTGGTCTCTCTCTGGTCTCCCTCTGGTCTCTCTCTGGTCTCTCTCTGGTCTCTCTCTGGTCTCTCTCTGGTCTCTCTCTGGTCTCTCTCCCTGGTCTCTCTCACTAGTCTCTCTCTCTGGCCTCTCTCTCTCTCTCTGGTCTCTCTCTCTGGTCTCTCTCCCTCTTGTCTCTCCCTCGTCTCTCCCGCTGTGGTCTCTCTCTGGTCTCTCTCTCTGGTCTCTCTCGCTGTGGTCTCTCTCTCTGGTCTCTCTCGCTGTGGTCTCTCTCCGGTCTCTCTCTCTGGTCTCTCTCCCTGGTCTCTCCCGCTGTGGTCTCTCTCCCTGGTCTCTCTCTCTGGTCTCTCTCGCTGTGGTCTCTCTCTGGTCTCTCTCTCTGGTCTCTCTCTCTGGTCTCTCTCTCTGGTCTCTCTCTCTGGTCTCTCTCCCTCTTGTCTCTCCCTGGTCTCTCTCGCTGTGGTCTCTCTCTGGTCTCTCTCTGGTCTCTCTCCCTGGTCTCTCTCTCTGGTCTCTCTCGCTGTGGTCTCTCTCTGGTCTCTCTCTCTGGTCTCTCTCCCTGGTCTCTCTCCCTGGTCTCTCCCGCTGTGGTCTCTCTCCCTGGTCTCTCTCTCTGGTCTCTCTCTCTGGTCTCTCTCTCTGGTCTCTCTCCCTGGTCTCTCCCGCTGTGGTCTCTCTCCCTGGTCTCTCTCTCTGGTCTCTCTCTCTGGTCTCTCTCCCTGGTCTCTCCCGCTGTGGTCTCTCTCCCTGGTCTCTCTCTCTGGTCTCTCTCTCTGGTCTCTCCCGCTGTGGTCTCTCGCTGTGGTCTCTCTCGCTGTGGTCTCTCTCTGGTCTCTCTCTCTGGTCTCTCTCCCTGGTCTCTCTCCCTGGTCTCTCCCGCTGTGGTCTCTCTCCCTGGTCTCTCTCTCTTGTCTACCTAACTAGTCTCTCTCTGGAGTAATTCCCTCTTTGCTCTAGGTGGCTGAGTGGTTCGCATTCTCGCTTCTCAGCAAGAAGGTGCTGGGTTCGGATCCCGGTCTGAACAAGGCCTTTCTGAGTTCAGTTTGTATGTTTAGGTATTCCATGACACTTTGAAGCAGCTGTGGTTAAAGTTCTAACTCATCATTCTAACATATGCACAAGGCAGTACTTCTCCACTGCAGAAGGCCAAAGCTACTGACCCCACGGTGAAAGCTGATTGGAGTGAAGGCAGTACTTCTCCACTGCAGAAGGCCAAAGCTACTGACCCCACGGTGAAAGCTGATTGGAGTGAAGGCAGTACTTCTCCACTGCAGAAGGCCAAAGCTACTGACCCCGCGGTGAAAGCTGATTGGAGTGAAGGCAGTACTTCTCCACTGCAGAAGGCCAAAGCTACTGACCCCACGGTGAAAGCTGATTGGAGTGAAGGCAGTACTTCTCCACTGCAGAAGGCCAAAGCTACTGACCCCGCGGTGAAAGCTGATTGGAGTGAAGGCAGTACTTCTCCACTGCAGAAGGCCAAAGCTACTGACCCCGCGGTGAAAGCTGATTGGAGTGAAGGCAGTACTTCTCCACTGCAGAAGGCCAAAGCTACTGACCCCGCGGTGAAAGCTGATTGGAGTGAAGGCAGTACTTCTCCACTGCAGAAGGCCAAAGCTACTGACCCCGCGGTGAAAGCTGATTGGACGGTGTTATTCCTCCGCTGTATATTATCACTTACATTCTGTAACGTCTTTGTTCTGTCTCTACCATCGACAATAAAACATGTCTTCTGTCTGAATTAAAGACACTATCCCAGACTTTGTCATCTTCTTCAAAACTACTGCTGCTGCTGCTACTACTGCTACTGCTACTGCTGCTGCTGCTGCTGCTGCTACTGCTACTACTACTGCTACTGCTGCTGCTGCTGCTACTGCTACTACTACTGCTACTGCTGCTGCTGCTGCTGCTGCTGCTGCCTTCAACACGATCCTGCCATCCCTGCTCCAGGACAAGCTCTCCCAGCTCCACCTGCTCCTCCTGCTCCTCCTGCTCCTCCTGCTCCACCTGCTCCTCCTGCTCCTCCTGCTCCACCTGCTCCTCCTGCTCCACCTGCTCCTCCTGCTCCACCCGCTCCTCCTGCTCCACCTGCTCCTCCTGCTCCTCCTGCTCCACCTGCTCCTCCTGCTCCTCCTGCTCCACCTGCTCCACCCGCTCCTCCTGCTCCACCTGCTCCTCCTGCTCCTCCTGCTCCACCCGCTCCTCCTGCTCCACCTGCTCCTCCTGCTCCTCCTGCTCCCCCTACTCCACCTGCTCCTCCTGCTCCACCTGCTCCTCCTCCTCCAGCTGCTCCAGCTGCTCCTCCTGCTCCACCCGCTCCTCCTGCTCCACCTGCTCCAGCTGCTCCACCTGCTCCTCCTGCTCCACCTGCTCCTCCTGCTCCAGCTGCTCCACCTGCTCCTCCTGCTCCACCCGCTCCTCCTGCTCCACCTGCTCCACCTGCTCCTCCTGCTCCACCTGCTCCTCCTGCTCCACCTGCTCCACCTGCTCCTCCTGCTCCACCTGCTCCTCCTGCTCCACCTGCTCCTCCTGCTCCACCCGCTCCTCCTGCTCCACCTGCTCCTCCTGCTCCACCTGCTCCTCCTGCTCCTCCTGCTCCACCCGCTCCTCCTGCTCCACCTGCTCCTCCTGCTCCTCCTGCTCCTCCTGCTCCACCTGCTCCTCCTGCTCCTCCTGCTCCCCCTGCTCCACCTGCTCCACCTGCTCCTCCTGCTCCTCCTGCTCCACCTGCTCCTCCTGCTCCACCTGCTCCTCCTGCTCCACCTGCTCCACCTGCTCCTCCTGCTCCACCTGCTCCTCCTGCTCCACCTGCTCCTCCTGCTCCACCCGCTCCTCCTGCTCCACCTGCTCCTCCTGCTCCTCCTGCTCCACCTGCTCCTCCTGCTCCTCCTGCTCCACCTGCTCCACCCGCTCCTCCTGCTCCACCTGCTCCTCCTGCTCCTCCTGCTCCACCCGCTCCTCCTGCTCCACCTGCTCCTCCTGCTCCTCCTGCTCCCCCTACTCCACCTGCTCCTCCTGCTCCACCTGCTCCTCCTCCTCCAGCTGCTCCAGCTGCTCCTCCTGCTCCACCCGCTCCTCCTGCTCCACCTGCTCCAGCTGCTCCACCTGCTCCTCCTGCTCCACCTGCTCCTCCTGCTCCAGCTGCTCCACCTGCTCCTCCTGCTCCCCCCGCTCCTCCTGCTCCACCTGCTCCACCTGCTCCTCCTGCTCCACCTGCTCCTCCTGCTCCACCTGCTCCACCTGCTCCTCCTGCTCCACCTGCTCCTCCTGCTCCACCTGCTCCTCCTGCTCCACCCGCTCCTCCTGCTCCACCTGCTCCTCCTGCTCCACCTGCTCCTCCTGCTCCTCCTGCTCCACCCGCTCCTCCTGCTCCACCTGCTCCTCCTGCTCCTCCTGCTCCTCCTGCTCCACCTGCTCCTCCTGCTCCTCCTGCTCCCCCTGCTCCACCTGCTCCACCTGCTCCTCCTGCTCCTCCTGCTCCACCTGCTCCTCCTGCTCCTCCTGCTCCTCCTGCTCCCCCTGCTCCACCTGCTCCACCTGCTCCTCCTGCTCCACCTGCTCCTCCTGCTCCACCTGCTCCTCCTGCTCCACCTGCTCCTCCTGCTCCAGCTGCTCCTCCTGCTCCAGCTGCTCCACCTGCTCCACTTGCTCCTCCTGCTCCAGCTGCTCCTCCTGCTCCAGCTGCTCCACCTGCTCCTCCTGCTCCACCCGCTCCTCCTGCTCCACCTGCTCCACCTGCTCCACCTGCTCCTCCTGCTCCACCTGCTCCTCCTGCTCCACCTGCTCCACCTGCTCCACCTGCTCCTCCTGCTCCTCCTGCTCCACCTGCTCCTCCTGCTCCACCTGCTCCTCCTGCTCCACCCGCTCCTCCTGCTCCACCTGCTCCTCCTGCTCCTCCTGCTCCACCCGCTCCACCTGCTCCACCTGCTCCTCCTGCTCCACCCGCTCCTCCTGCTCCACCTGCTCCTCCCGCTCCTCCTGCTCCACCCGCTCCACCTGCTCCTCCTGCTCCACCTGCTCCTCCTGCTCCACCTGCTCCTCCTGCTCCACCTGCTCCTCCTGCTCCAGCTGCTCCTCCTGCTCCAGCTGCTCCTCCTGCTCCAGCTGCTCCACCTGCTCCTCCTGCTCCACCAGCTCCTCCTGCTCCTCCTGCTCCACCTGCTCCTCCTGCTCCACCTGCTCCTCCTGCTCCACCTGCTCCACCTGCTCCTCCTGCTCCAGCTGCTCCACCTGCTCCACCTGCTCCAGCTGCTCCACCTGCTCCACCTGCTCCTCCTGCTCCACCAGCTCCTCCTGCTCCTCCTGCTCCACCTGCTCCTCCTGCTCCACCTGCTCCTCCTGCTCCACCTGCTCCTCCTGCTCCAGCTGCTCCACCTGCTCCACCTGCTCCAGCTGCTCCTCCTGCTCCAGCTGCTCCTCCTGCTCCAGCTGCTCCTCCTGCTCCAGCTGCTCCACCTGCTCCTCCTGCTCCACCAGCTCCTCCTGCTCCTCCTGCTCCACCTGCTCCTCCTGCTCCACCTGCTCCTCCTGCTCCACCTGCTCCACCTGCTCCTCCTGCTCCACCTGCTCCACCTGCTCCTCCTGCTCCACCTGCTCCTCCTGCTCCACCTGCTCCACCTGCTCCACCTGCTCCTCCTGCTCCTCCTGCTCCACCTGCTCCACCCGCTCCTCCTGCTCCACCTGCTCCTCCTGCTCCTCCTGCTCCACCCGCTCCACCTGCTCCACCTGCTCCTCCTGCTCCACCCGCTCCTCCTGCTCCACCTGCTCCTCCCGCTCCTCCTGCTCCACCCGCTCCACCTGCTCCTCCTGCTCCACCTGCTCCTCCTGCTCCACCTGCTCCTCCTGCTCCACCTGCTCCTCCTGCTCCAGCTGCTCCTCCTGCTCCAGCTGCTCCACCTGCTCCTCCTGCTCCACCAGCTCCTCCTGCTCCTCCTGCTCCACCTGCTCCTCCTGCTCCACCTGCTCCTCCTGCTCCACCTGCTCCTCCTGCTCCAGCTGCTCCTCCTGCTCCAGCTGCTCCACCTGCTCCACCTGCTCCAGCTGCTCCACCTGCTCCACCTGCTCCTCCTGCTCCACCAGCTCCTCCTGCTCCTCCTGCTCCACCTGCTCCTCCTGCTCCACCTGCTCCTCCTGCTCCACCTGCTCCTCCTGCTCCAGCTGCTCCACCTGCTCCACCTGCTCCAGCTGCTCCTCCTGCTCCAGCTGCTCCTCCTGCTCCAGCTGCTCCACCTGCTCCTCCTGCTCCACCAGCTCCTCCTGCTCCTCCTGCTCCACCTGCTCCTCCTGCTCCTCCTGCTCCACCTGCTCCTCCTGCTCCACCTGCTCCACCTGCTCCTCCTGCTCCACCTGCTCCTCCTGCTCCACCTGCTCCTCCTGCTCCACCTGCTCCACCAGCTCCTCCTGCTCCTCCTGCTCCACCTGCTCCTCCTGCTCCACCTGCTCCTCCTGCTCCACCTGCTCCACCTGCTCCTCCTGCTCCACCTGCTCCACCTGCTCCTCCTGCTCCACCTGCTCCACCTGCTCCTCCTGCTCCACCCGCTCCACCTGCTCCACCTGCTCCTCCTGCTCCACCCGCTCCACCTGCTCCTCCTGCTCCTCCTGCTCCACCTGCTCCAGCTGCTCCTCCTGCTCCAGCTGCTCCACCTGCTCCTCCTGCTCCACCTGCTCCACCTGCAGGACTCTCTGACTCTCGGATTATAAACACAGGAGCCCCACAGGGCTGTGTTCTCTCTCCCCTGCTCTTCTGATTCTCTGAAACCTTGAGATATCTACATATCTATTCTTCCGCTGTATCCGTTGCCCATTAGCGCAGGCAGTAGCGGTCTGAGCAGACACAGACTTCCCACTCCACAGACACCTCCTCCAGCTCATCTGGGGGAATCCTGGGTCTTCCTCTGGTCTCCTCCCGATGGGACAGGCCCAGAACACCTCCTCAGAGGAGACCAGGAGGCCTCCCAAACAGATGAGCTCCACGTGGAGGAGCAGTGGCTCTACTCGGAGCTCCTCTATCTATAAGGGAGCTCCACTCCTCATTTATAATTGTAATCTTCCGACACACGCACGCACGCACGCACGCACGCACCCACACAGGGCGCGTACATAAACACAACGTGACATCATTGAGAGTACTTTTGAATATGCGCCTGAGGTGACGCACAAACCAGTTCGTCCTGTAAAGTCAGACACAGACTCAGAGAAGAGAAGTTTATTAAAATAGAATAATACATTCTCTCCAGTCTCTCTCTCTAGACTCTGTCTCCAGTCTCTCTCTCTGGTCTCTCTCTCTAGACTCTGTCTCCAGTCTCTCTCTCTGGTCTCTCTCTCCGGTCTCTCTCTCTGATCTGTCTCTGGTGTCTCTCTCTGGTCTCTCTAGTCTCTCTCTCCGGTCTCTCTCTCTGGTCTCTCTCTGGTCTCTCTCTCTGGTCTCTCTCTCCGGTCTGTCTCTCTCCGGTCTCTCTCTCTGGTCTCTCTCTCCGATCTGTCTCTCTCTGGTCTCTCTCTGGTCTCTCTCTCTGGTCTCTCTCTCCGGTCTGTCTCTCTCCGGTCTCTCTCTCTGGTCTCTCTCTCCGATCTGTCTCTCTCTGGTCTCTCTCTGGTCTCTCTCTCTGGTCTCTCTCTCCGGTCTGTCTCTCTCTGGTCCAAAAAATTACGATGTTCCACTCAATTAATTTGATCCAATTCTATGTCAACTGTAAATCCTTCTCGTTTCTCCCAAAGTTAGTTTATCTGAGCTAAAGTTAAAGTTAAAGTTAAAGTTAAAGTTTGAGTCTGAGGCTGATGATGATAAAGTTTTACCTGCTGCTGTCGCTCTGCTCAGTGCGCCTCTTCCGCGCTGTCAGTCTGGAAACTCCCACAAGAGAGAGGCTGGTCTACAGCACATGGTACGGTCTACAGCCTCAGTCCTGGGTCTACAGCCTCAGTCCTGGGTCTACAGCACATGGTACGGTCTACAGCCTCAGTCCTGGGTCTACAGCCTCAGTCCTGGGTCTACAGCCTCAGTCCTGGGTCTACAGCCTCAGTCCTGGGTCTACAGCCTCGGTCCTGGGTCTACAGACTCAGTCCTGGGTCTACAGCCTCAGTCCTGGGTCTACGGCCTCAGTCCTGGGTCTACAGCTTCAGTCCTGGGTCTAAAGCCTCGGTCCTGGGTCTACAGCCTCGGTCCTGGGTCTACAGACTCAGTCCTGGGTCTACAGCCTCGGTCCTGGGTCTACAGACTCAGTCCTGGGTCTACAGCCTCAGTCCTGGGTCTACGGCCTCAGTCCTGGGTCTACAGCTTCAGTCCTGGGTCTACAGCCTCAGTCCTGGGTCTACAGCCTCAGTCCTGGGTCTACAGCCTCAGTCCTGGGTCTACAGCCTCAGTCCTGGGTCTACGGCCTCAGTCCTGGGTCTACAGCTTCAGTCCTGGGTCTACAGCCTCAGTCCTGGGTCTACAGCCTCAGTCCTGGGTCTACAGCCTCAGTCCTGGGTCTACAGCCTCAGTCCTGGGTCTACAGCCTCAGTCCTGGGTCTATGGCCTCAGTCCATAATCAATAATAACAAAGGAAAAGTTTTCTGGTACAAAATGTGTTTATTGTTCTCGTTGATGGTACAGATGGTGTTTCAGCTAACAGTGTCGTCTCCATGGCAACAGAAACAGTTGCTAAACAGAGATTGCTTCAGATGAAGTTTCAGTTTGTGAAAGACATTCTGCAACACTGTATCTGTGACACGGCCCCCACCCTTCTGCCCAAATGCTACTTTTCAAACTCATAGGAACCGTTTTCTGCCCTAAAAGGACACACACACACTCTCATACAGACACACACTCTCATACACGCTCACACACTCTCACACACACACACACACATACACGCTCAGACACACACACTCTCATACACACACACATACACGCTCACAGACACACACACACACACTCTCATACACACACACATACACGCTCACAGACACACACACACACACTCTCATACAGACACACACACACACACACTCATACAGACACACACACACACACACACACACACACAGATTCATGGTGTTAAATGCATCACTCTTATGTAAAAAAATAAAAGATAATTTCAAAACAATATTGACAAAGAAATAACATTGAAACAGAAGAGACCAGTGACATCACCACAATGTGACATCACCACAGTGTGACATCACCACAGTGTGACATCACCACAGTGTGACATCACCACAGTGTGACATCACCACAATGTGACATCACCACAGTGTGACATCACCACAGTGTGACATCACCACAGTGTGACATCACCACAGTGTGACATCACCACAATGTGACATCACCACAGTGTGACATCACCACAATGTGACATCACCACAGTGTGACATCACAGTGTTAGCATTAATGCAGTAGAAGCCGTTTGGATCATAAGCTGGAGTCCTTATATGGGCATTTGTTCCGCGATGTTAGCTTCATGCAGACGTGTTGCTAAGGTGGTTGCTAAGGCAAGCTGGAGTTTCGATTGAAGGCCTCCGATTGGTCAATCCTTATATGGCTCATACCTGTATTTACAAAGACAAGATCAGAGAGAGATTAGAGAAAGAGAAAAAACACAGGTTTAAGCCTAAAATGGTTTGTCTGAGGAGTACGTCAATACTGTCGTCAGAGCCAAACTTCACCATGAGCACTTCCCTGAGCACTTACTCCTCCTGGTCCACTTGATTGGGGTCTGATTGGTAAAGACACTGTGTTAGCATGTAGCATCTGTATACAGTCTGTGTTAGCATGTAGCATCTGTATACAGTCTGTGTTAGCATGTAGCATCTGTATACAGTCTGTGTTAGCATGTAGCATCTGTATACAGCCTGTGTTAGCATGTAGCATCTGTATACAGTCTGTGTTAGCATGTAGCATCTGTATACAGTCTGTGTTAGCATGTAGCATCTGTATACAGTCTGTGTTAGCATGTAGCATCTGTATACAGTCTGTGTTAGCATGTAGCATCTGTAAACAGTCTGTGTTAGCATGTAGCATCTGTATACAGTCTGTGTTAGCATGTAGCATCTGTATACAGTCTGTGTTAGCATGTAGCATCTGTAAACAGTCTGTGTTAGCATTAGCATCTGTATACAGTCTGTGTTAGCATGTAGCATCTGTATACAGCCTGTGTTAGCATGTAGCATCTGTATACAGTCTGTGTTAGCATGTAGCATCTGTATACAGCCTGTGTTAGCATGTAGCATCTGTATACAGCCTGTGTTAGCATGTAGCATCTGTATACAGTCTGTGTTAGCATGTAGCATCTGTATACAGCCTGTGTTAGCATGTAGCATCTGTATACAGTCTGTGTTAGCATGTAGCATCTGTATACAGTCTGTGTTAGCATGTAGCATCTGTATACAGTCTGTGTTAGCATGTAGCATCTGTATACAGTCTGTGTTAGCATGTAGCATCTGTATACAGTCTGTGTTAGCATGTAGCATCTGTATACAGTCTGTGTTAGCATGTAGCATCTGTAAACAGTCTGTGTTAGCATGTAGCATCTGTATACAGTCTGTGTTAGCATGTAGCATCTGTATACAGTCTGTGTTAGCATGTAGCATCTGTATACAGCCTGTGTTAGCATGTAGCATCTGTATACAGTCTGTGTTAGCATGTAGCATCTGTATACAGTCTGTGTTAGCATGTAGCATCTGTAAACAGTCTGTGTTAGCATGTAGCATCTGTATACAGTCTGTGTTAGCATGTAGCATCTGTATACAGTCTTGTGTTAGCATGTAGCATCTGTAAACAGTCTGTGTTAGCATTAGCATCTGTATACAGTCTGTGTTAGCATGTAGCATCTGTATACAGTCTGTGTTAGCATGTAGCATCTGTATACAGCCTGTGTTAGCATGTAGCATCTGTATACAGTCTGTGTTAGCATGTAGCATCTGTATACAGTCTGTGTTAGCATTAGCATCTGTATACAGTCTGTGTTAGCATGTAGCATCTGTAAACAGTCTGTGTTAGCATTAGCATCTGTATACAGTCTGTGTTAGCATGTAGCATCTGTATACAGTCTGTGTTAGCATGTAGCATCTGTATACAGTCTGTGTTAGCATGTAGCATCTGTATACAGCCTGTGTTAGCATGTAGCATCTGTATACAGTCTGTGTTAGCATGTAGCATCTGTATACAGTCTGTGTTAGCATGTAGCATCTGTATACAGTCTGTGTTAGCATGTAGCATCTGTATACAGCCTGTGTTAGCATGTAGCATCTGTATACAGTCTGTGTTAGCATGTAGCATCTGTATACAGTCTGTGTTAGCATGTAGCATCTGTATACAGTCTGTGTTAGCATGTAGCATCTGTATGCAGTCTGTGTTAGCATGTAGCATCTGTATACAGTCTGTGTTAGCATGTAGCATCTGTATACAGTCTGTGTTAGCATGTAGCATTCTGTATACAGTCTGTGTTAGCATGTAGCATCTGTATACAGTCTGTGTTAGCATGTAGCATCTGTATACAGTCTGTGTTAGCATGTAGCATCTGTATACAGCCTGTGTTAGCATGTAGCATCTGTATACAGTCTGTGTTAGCATGTAGCATCTGTATACAGTCTGTGTTAGCATGTAGCATCTGTATACAGTCTGTGTTAGCATGTAGCATCTGTATACAGCCTGTGTTAGCATGTAGCATCTGTATACAGTCTGTGTTAGCATGTAGCATCTGTATACAGCCTGTGTTAGCATGTAGCATCTGTATACAGTCTGTGTTAGCATGTAGCATCTGTAAACAGTCTGTGTTAGCATGTAGCATCTGTATACAGTCTGTGTTAGCATGTAGCATCTGTATACAGTCTGTGTTAGCATGTAGCATCTGTATACAGCCTGTGTTAGCATGTAGCATCTGTATACAGTCTGTGTTAGCATGTAGCATCTGTATACAGCCTGTGTTAGCATGTAGCATCTGTATACAGCCTGTGTTAGCATGTAGCATCTGTATACAGTCTGTGTTAGCATGTAGCATCTGTATACAGTCTGTGTTAGCATGTAGCATCTGTATACAGTCTGTGTTAGCATGTAGCATCTGTATACAGCCTGTGTTAGCATGTAGCATCTGTATACAGTCTGTGTTAGCATGTAGCATCTGTAACACAGTCTGTGTTAGCATGTAGCATCTGTATACAGTCTGTGTTAGCATGTAGCATCTGTATACAGTCTGTGTTAGCATGTAGCATCTGTATACAGTCTGTGTTAGCATGTAGCATCTGTATACAGTCTGTGTTAGCATGTAGCATCTGTATACAGTCTGTGTTAGCATGTAGCATCTGTATACAGTCTGTGTTAGCATGTAGCATCTGTATACAGTCTGTGTTAGCATGTAGCATCTGTATACAGTCTGTGTTAGCATGTAGCATCTGTATACAGTCTGTGTTAGCATGTAGCATCTGTATACAGCCTGTGTTAGCATGTAGCATCTGTATACAGTCTGTGTTAGCATGTAGCATCTGTAACACAGTCTGTGTTAGCATGTAGCATCTGTATACAGTCTGTGTTAGCATGTAGCATCTGTATACAGTCTGTGTTAGCATGTAGCATCTGTATACAGTCTGTGCTAGCATGTAGCATCTGTATACAGTCTGTGTTAGCATGTAGCATCTGTATACAGTCTGTGTTAGCATGTAGCATCTGTATACAGTCTGTGTTAGCATGTAGCATCTGTATACAGTCTGTGTTAGCATGTAGCATCTGTATACAGCCTGTGTTAGCATGTAGCATCTGTATACAGTCTGTGTTAGCATGTAGCATCTGTATACAGTCTGTGTTAGCATGTAGCATCTGTATACAGTCTGTGTTAGCATGTAGCATCTGTATACAGTCTGTGTTAGCATGTAGCATCTGTAACACAGTCTGTGGGTGACACAATATTAAAATAGCCTTGAAAGAAGAAGTATTGCAGAGCACGTTGGTCTCGTGATGATCCAGTCTCCTCACAGTCTCCTCCCGGTCTCCTCGTGGTCCTCACCTCCTCTTGGCTCCAGGCTTGGCTCCCGCTCTGGGCCTGGCTCTCTTGCTGCGGTTGTTCCTGAAGTCGATGAGGCAGTCGCGGGCCTCGGAGATGGGAGTGAAGGCTCTGATGGGAGAGTTACTGACGTGGATCAAAGACACAGAGTCCTCCTCGTCATCATCGATCAGATCAATCACTTCTCTGCAACAAAACATCCATCAGTCTCCTCTCTCTCTCTGGTCTCTCTCTGGTCCCTCTCTGGTCTCTCTCTGGTCTCTCTCTGGTCCCTCTCTGGTCTCTCTCTGGTCTCTCTCTCTGGTCTCTCTCTGGTCTCTCTCTGGTCTCTCTCTCTGGTCTCTCTCTGGTCTCTCTCTGGTCTCTCTCTGGTCTCTCTCTCTGGTCTCTCTCTGCTCTCTCTCTGGTCTCTCTCTCTGGTCTCTCTCTGGTCTCTCTCTGGTCTCTCTCTGGTCTCTCTCTCTACTCTCTCTCTGGTCTCTCTCTGGTCTCTCTCTGGTCTCTCTCTGGTCTCTCTCTCTCTCTCTGGTCTCTCTCTGGTCTCTCTCTGGTCTCTCTCTGGTCTCTCTCTGGTCTCTCTCTCTGGTCTCTCTCTGGTCTCTCTCTGGTCTCTCTCTGGCCTCTCTCTGGCCTCTCTCTGGTCTCTCTCTCTGATCTCTCTCTCTGGTCTCTCTCTCTCTCTCTCTGGTCCCTCTCTGGTCTCTCTCTGGTCCCTCTCTGGTCCCTCTCTGGTCTCTCTCTCTCTGGTCTCTCTCTCTGGTCTCTCTCTGGTCTCTCTCTGGTCTCTCTCTCTCTCTCTCTGGTCTCTCTCTGGTCTCTCTCTGGTCTCTCTCTGGTCTCTCTCTGGTCTCTCTCTGGTCTCTCTCTGGTCTCTCTCTGGTCTCTCTCTGGTCTCTCTCTGGTCTCTCTCTCTGGTCCCTCTTCTGGTCTCTCTCTGGTCTCTCTCTGGTCTCTCTCTCTGGTCTCTCTCTCTGGCCTCTCTCTCTGGTCTCTCTCCTTTTGGTCTCTCTCTGGTCTCTCCTTTTGGTCTCTCTCTGGTCTCTCTCTGGTCTCTCTCTGGTCTCTCTCTCTGGTCTCTCTCTCTGGTCTCTCTCCTTTTGGTCTCTCTCTGGCCTCTCTCTGGTCTCTCTCTGGTCTCTCTCTCTGGTCTCTCTCTCTGGTCTCTCTCTCTGGTCTCTCTCTGGTCCTCTCTCTGGTCTCTCTCTCTGGTCTCTCTCTGGCCTCTCTCTGGTCTCTCTCTCTGGTCTCTCTCTGGTCTCTCTCTCTGGTCTCTCTCTGGTCTCTCTCTGGTCTCTCTCCCTGGTCTCTCTCTCTGGTCTCTCTCTGGTCCCTCTCTGGTCCCTCTCTGGTCTCTCTCTGGTCCCTCTCTGGTCTCTCTCTGGTCTCTCTCTCTGGTCTCTCTCTGGTCTCTCTCTGGCTCTCTCTGGTCTCTCTCTGGTCTCTCTCTGGTCTCTCTCTGGTCTCTCTCTCTGGTCTCTCTCTGGTCTCTCTCTGGTCTCTCTCTGGTCTCTCTCTCTGGTGTCCCTCTGGTCTCTCTCTGGTCTCTCTCTCTGGTCTCTCTCTCTGGTCTCTCTCTCTGGTCTCTCTCTCTGGTCTCTCTCTGGTCTCTCTGGTCTCTCTCTCTGGTCTCTCTCTCTGGTCCCTCTCTGGTCTCTCTCTGGTCTCTCTCTGGTCTCTCTCTCTGGTCTCTCTCTGGTCTCTCTCTGGTCTCTCTCTCTGGTCTCTCTCTCTGGCTCTCTCTCTGGTCTCTCTCTTTGGTCTCTCTCTGGTCTCTCTTTGGTCTCTCTCTGGTCTCTCTCTGGTCTCTCTCTCTGGTCTCTCTCTCTGGTCTCTCTCTGGTCTCTCTCTGGTCTCTCTCTCTGGTCTCTCTCTGGTCTCTCTCTCTGGTCTCTCTCTCTGGTCTCTCTCTGGTCTCTCTCTCTGGTCTCTCTCTGGTCTCTCTCTGGTCTCTCTCTGGTCTCTCTCTCTGGTCTCTCTCTGGTCTCTCTCTCTGGTCTCTCTCTGGTCTCTCTCTCTGGTCTCTCTCTCTGGTCTCTCTCTCTGGTCTCTCTCTCTGGCTCTCTCTCTGGTCTCTCTCTCTGGTCTCTCTCTGGCTCTCTCTCTGGCTCTCTCTGGCCTCTCTCTGGTCTCTCTCTGGTCCTCTCTCTGGTCTCTCTCTGGTCTCTCTCTGGCTCTCTCTGGTCTCTCTCTGGTCTCTCTCTGGTCTCTCTCTGGTCTCTCTCTGGTCTCTCTCTGGCCTCTCTCTGGTCTCTCTCTCTGGTCTCTCTCTCTCTGGTCTCTCTCTGGTCTCTCTCTGGTCTCTCTCTGGTCTCTCTCTGGTCTCTCTCTGGCCTCTCTCTGGTCTCTCTCTGGTCTCTCTCTCTGGTCTCTCTCTGGTCTCTCTCTGGTCTCTCTCTGGTCTCTCTCTGGTCCCTCTCTGGACTCTCTCTGGTCTCTCTCTGGTCTCTCTCTGGTCTCTCTCTGGTCTCTCTCTGGTCTCTCTCTGGTCCCTCTCTGGACTCTCTCTGGTCTCTCTCTGGTCTCTCTCTGGCCTCTCTCTGGTGTCTCCCTGATGCTAAATCCTCTTGTCTTGGATTGTCCACAGCAACAATAGTTGTGTGTGTGTGCGTGTCTGTGTGTGTGTGTGTGCGTGTGTGTGTGCGTGTCTGTGTGTGCGTGTGTGTGTGTGTGTCTGTGTGTGTGTGTGTGTGTCTCTCTGTGTGTGTGTGCGTGTGTGTCTGTGTGTGTGTGTCTGTGTCTCTGTGTGTGTGTGTGTGTCTGTGTCTCTGTGTGTGTGTGTGTGTGTGTGTGTGTGTGTGTGTCTGTGTGTGTGTGTGTGTGTGTGTGTGTCTCTGTGTGGTTGTGTGTGTGTGTGTGTGCTTGTGTGTGTGTGTGTGTCTGTGTCTCTGTGTGTGTGTGTCTCTCTGTGTGTGTGTGCTTGTGTGTGCTTGTGTGTGTGTGTGTCTGTGTGTGTGTGTGTGTGTGTGTCTCTCTGTGTGTGTGTGCTTGTGTGTGTGTGTGTGTGTGTCTCTGTGTGTGTGTGTGTGTGTGTGTCTGTGTGTGTGTGTGTGTCTCTGTGTGTGTCTGTGTGTGTGTGTCTCTGTGTGTGTGTGCTTGTGTGTGCTTGTGTGTGTGTGTGTCTGTGTGTGTGTGTGTGTGTGTGTGTCTGTGTGTGTGTGTGTGTGTGTGTGTGTGTGTGTGTGTCTGTGTGTGTGTGTGTGTGTGTGTGTGTCTCTGTGTGTGTGTGTGTGTGTGCAGATTTGAGAAGATGATCAGTGGGATGTACCTGGGGGAGATAGTGCGCCTCCTGCTGGTGAGGATGGCTCAGGACGGGCTGCTGTTCCAGGGACAGGTCTCAGATCAGCTGCAGACGCCCGGAGCCTTCACCACCAGCTTCATCTCTGAGGTCGAGGAGTGAGTCACTGATCCAGATATATGTCTCTGTGCTCTCTCTTTCTATTCTCTCTCTCTGGTCTCTCTCTCCCTGGTCTCTCTTTCTCTGGTCTCTCTCTAGTCTCTCTGTTATCTCTTTCTGGTCTCTCTCTAGTCTCTCTGTTATCTCTTTCTGGTCTCTCTCTCTCTGGTCTCTCTTTTTCTGGTCCCTCTCCTTGGTCTCTCTCTCTCAGGTCTCTCACTCTGGTCTCTCTCTTATCTCTCTCTCTGGTCTCTCTTTCTGTTATCTCTCTCTGGTCTCTCTCTCTAGTCTCTCAGTCTGGTCTCTCTCTCTGGTGTCTCTCTGCTCTCAGGTCTCTCTCTCAGGTCTCTCTCTCTGATCTCTCTCTCTCTGGTCTCTCTTTATATTGGTCTCTCTCGCTCTAGTCTCTCTCTCACTGGTCCCTCTTTCTGGTCTCTCTCAGTCTAGTCTCTCTTTCTCTGGTCTCACTCTCTGGTCTCTCTCTGGTCTCTCTCTCTCTGGTCTCTCTCTCTCAGTCTGGTCTCTCTCTCTGGTCTCTCTCTGATCTCTCTCTGGTCTCTCTCTCTGCTCTTTCTCTCTCCGCTCCCTCTATCTACTCCTTCTCTCTGGTCTTTCTCTGGTCTCTCTCTGGTTTCTCTCTGGTCTCTCTCTCTCTCTCTCTCTGGTCTCTCTCTCAGTCTGGTCTCTCTCTCTGGTCTTTCTCTGGTCTCTCTCTGGTCTTTCTCTGGTCTCTCTCTGGTCTCTCTCTCTGGTCTCTCTCTCAGTCTGGTCTCTCTCTCTGGTCTTTCTCTGGTCTCTCTCTGGTTTCTCTCTGGTCTCTCTCTCTCTCTCTCTCTCTGATCTCTCTCTGATCCTAAATCCCCTTGTATTGTTGCTGTGAGCAGAGAGGGCAGTGGGCCGCAGCACACGGAGCGTATCCTGACCGGTCTCTCCCTGCGCTGGTCTGCTGTGGACTTGCGTGCGGTGTGTCTGGTGTGTGACGCGGTGTCATCTCGTGCCGCTCGCCTCTGCGCCGCGGCATTAGCGGCGGTCGCTAACCGTATTCGCACGAACAGAGGCCTGCAGCAGTTTCAGACCACAGTGGCCGTCGACGGAACTGTCTACAAGAAGCATCCCAAGTAACTACACTGTCCCTTTAAGAACCTACACTGTCCCTTTAAGGACCTACACTGTTCCTTGAAGAACCTACTCTGTCTATTTAAGAACCTACACTGTCCCTTTAAGAACCGACACTGTCTCTTTAAGAACCTACACTGTCTCGTTAAGAACCTACACTGTCTCTTTAAGAACCGACACTGTCTCTTTAAGAACCTACACTGTCTCTTTAAGAACCGACACTGTCTCGTGAAGAACCTACACTGTCTCTTTAAGAACCGACACTGTCTCGTTAAGAACCTACACTGTCTCTTTAAGAACCTACACTGTCTCTTTAAGAACCTACACTGTCTCGTTAAGAACCTACACTGTTTCTTGCTCTCTCTGGTCACACTTTGTCTCCCTCTAGTCTCTCTCTGGTCTCTCTCTGGTCTCTCTCTGGTCTCTCTCTGGTCTCTCTCATGGTCTCTATCTGGTCTCCCTCTCTGGTCTCTCGCTGGTCTCTCTCTGGTCTCTCTCTGGTCTCTCTCTAGTCTCGCTCTGGTCTCTCTCTGGTCTCTCTTTGGTCTCTCTCAGGTCTCTCTCTGGTCTTTCTCTGGTCTCTCTCTGGTCTCTCTCTGGTCTCTCTCTAGTCTCGCTCTGGTCTCTCTCTGGTCTCTCTTTGGTCTCTCTCAGGTCTCTCTCTGGTCTCTCTCTGGTCTCTCTCTGGTCTCTCTGCACTAGCCCTCTAGTCTCTCTGTGGTCTCTCTCTGGTCTCTCTCTGGTCTCTCTGCACTAGCCCTCTAGTCTCTCTGTGGTCTCTCTCTGGTCTCTCTCTGGTCTCTCTCTAGTCTCGCTCTGGTCTCTCTCTGGTCTCTCTTTGGTCTCTCTCAGGTCTCTCTCTGGTCTTTCTCTGGTCTCTCTCTGGTCTCTCTCTGGTCTCTCTCTAGTCTCGCTCTGGTCTCTCTCTGGTCTCTCTTTGGTCTCTCTCAGGTCTCTCTCTGGTCTCTCTCTGGTCTCTCTCTGGTCTCTCTGCACTAGCCCTCTAGTCTCTCTGTGGTCTCTCTCTGGTCTCTCTCTGGTCTCTCTCTGGTCTCTCTCTGGTCTCTCTCTGGTCTCCCTCTGGTCTCCCTCTGGTCTCTCTCTGGTCTCTCTTTGGTCTCCCTCCGGTCTCTCTCTGGTCTCTCTCTGGTCTCTCTCTGGTCTCTCTCCGGTGTCTTTCTGGTCTCTTTCTGGTCTCTCTCTGGTCTCTCTCTGGTCTCTCTCTGGTCTCTCTCTGGTCTCTCTCTGGTCTCTCTCTAGTCTCGCTCTGGTCTCTCTCTGGTCTCTCTTTGGTCTCTCTCAGGTCTCTCTCTGGTCTCTCTCTGGTCTCTCCCTGGTCTCTCTGCACTAGCCCTCTAGTCTCTCTCTGGTCTCTCTCTCTGGTCTCTCTCTGGTCTCTCTCTGGTCTCTCTCTAGTCTCGCTCTGGTCTCTCTCTGGTCTCTCTTTGGTCTCTCTCTGGTCTCTCTCTGGTCTCTCTCTCTGGTCTCTCTCTGGTCTCTCTCTAGTCTCGCTGTGGTCTCTCTCTCTGGTCTCTCTCTCTGGTCTCTCTCTGGTCTCTCTCTCTGGTCTCTCCCTGGTCTCTCTCTGGTCTCTCTCTGGTCTCTCTCTCTGGTCTCTCTCTGGTCTCTCTCTCTGGTCTCTCTCTGGTCTCTCTCTAGTCTCGCTCTGGTCTCTCTCTTCAGTCTCTTTCTAAAGATAAGATTATTCTTCAGTTAATGATAATTATTTTATATTATTAATAATTATTATTAATTATATCATATCATTATAAAACTCTGTCTGTTCCTCTCTGTGCTGCAGCTTCAAGGCCGAGTTGCAGGATGTGGTGCAGGACCTGGCGCCCCAGTGCACCCTGGACTTCCTGGTCTCTGTGGACGGCAGTGGGAAAGGTGCTGCCATGGTAACGGCGGTCGCCCAGAGGAACGCGGCCCAGTCCCACCTGATCGACGATGAGGAGGACGAAGACCAAGACCAGAACTGAGACTGTGCCCTCGAGCAACACACCCGCACCACGACTGAACACACAGTGATCCAGACCTGGTGCCGCCCCAGTGATCCAGACCTGGTCCAGACCCAGTGATCCAGACTGATTATTAATTATTTATTGTTCTAAAATTGAACTAAATCTAAAGCGTTTAAGTTTTATATGTTTACAAAGATCTGGATCATGTTGTCCTGGTCCGGTCCTGGTCCGGTCCTGGTCCTGTCCTGGTCCTGTCATGGTCCTGTCCTGGTCCGGTCCTGGTCCTGTCCTGGTCCTGTCCTGGTCCTGTTCTGGTCCTGTCCTGGTTCTGATGTTTTATATTCAGGACATTTTTATCTTTATTAAAGATTGTTTTGATTAATTTTGGATCAAAACATTTGAACTGTTTCGTGTTGTAACTTTCTGCATCAGTCTCCTGCTAAACCAGACTGCGGCCACCAGAGGGCGCCACATCCTGCGTCTGAGTCTATGAGGGACGTTCAACCACTGGACTCTCAGTCAGACCAGTTATAGACCAGGACCTACGGGCTGCACCACTCCCAACCTGGCCCTCTTCAGTCCTAGGTCTTCAGCCTCAGTCCTGGGTCTACAGCCTCAGTCCTGGGTCTACGGCCTCAGTCCTGGGTCTACGGCCTCAGTCCTGGGTCTACGGCCTCAGTCCTGGGTCTACAGCCTCAGTCCTGGGTCTACAGCCTCAGTCCTGGGTCTACAGCCTCAATCCTGGATCTACGGCCCCAGTCCTGGGTCTACGGCCTCTGTCCTGGGTCTACAGCCTCAGTCCTGGGTCTACAGCCTCAATCCTGGATCTACAGCCTCAGTCCTGGGTCTACAGCCTCAGTCCTGGTCTACAGTCTCAGTCCTGGGTCTACAGCCTCAGTCCTGGGTCTACAGCCTCAGTCCTGGTCTACAGTCTCAGTCCTGGGTCTACAGCCTCAGTCCTGGATCTACAGCCTCAGTCCTGGGTCTACAGCCTCAGTCCTGGGTCTACAGCCTCAGTCCTGAGTCTACAGCCTCAGTCTTGGGTCTACAGCCTCACTCATTTGAAAGTCCTGATTCAGGCCCTAAAAATCCGTTGGCGGCTGCGGGGACAGGGCTCATGGGAGAGGGGTCAGTCTGCCCCAGGGCAACTGTGGCTACGAGACTTACTGCTAATATCTTTGTTTTTTACAGACATGAGGACGCACAGTTTCAGATAAAATGGTTTAGTAAAGATTTCAAAATATGTTAAAGTTCACTGCTTGTTTGTACAATCCACTGGGACCTAGCAACCTACCCACAACAAACCAGTATCCTGGGAAATTCCTTGGTAACCACGGCTTCCAGCAGCACTCTGTCCAGTCACTATCAGTTAGAACACTTTAGTACCAGCTCGGCCTGGATAGAACCAGGACCAAGAGGGACTAAAGAAGGACCTGGTACTGGTTACACAGGACCAGGAAACACTCCCAATCAGGAGAGAGTAGAGGAGAGTAGAGTAGGGTAGAGTAGAGTAGAGTAGGGTAGGGTAGAGTAGAGTAGAGTAGGGTAGAGTAGAGTAGAGTAGAGTAGGGTAGAGTAGAGTAGAGTAGGGTAGGGTAGAGTAGAGTAGAGTAGGGTAGAGTAGAGTAGAGTAGAGTAGGGTAGAGTAGAGTAGGGTAGAGTAGGGTAGAGTAGAATAGAGTAGGGTAGAGTAGGGTAGAGTAGAGTAGAGTAGGGTAGGGTAGAGTAGAGTAGGGTAGAGTAGAGTAGGGTTGAGTAGAGTAGAGTAGGGTAGGGTAGAGTAGAGTAGAGTAGGGTAGGGTAGAGTAGAGTAGAGTAGGGTAGGGTAGGGTAGGGTAGAGTAGAGTAGAGAAGAGTAGGGTAGAGTAGAGTAGAGTAGAGGAGGGTAGGGGAGAGAAGAGTAGAGTAGGGTAGAGTAGAGTAGAGTAGAGTAGCGCAGAGTACGGTAGAGTAGAGTAGAGTAGCGCAGAGTAGGGTAGAATAGAGTAGGGTAGGGTAGGGTAGAGTAGGGTAGAGTAGAGTAGGGTAGAGTAGAGTAGAGTAGAGTAGAGTAGAGTAGAGTAGGGTAGGGTAGGGGAGAGAAGAGTAGAGTAGAGTAGGGTAGGGGAGAGTAGGGTAGAGTAGGGTAGAGTAGAGTAGAGTAGGGTAGGGTAGGGTAGAGAAGAGTAGAGTAGAGTAGAGTAGGGTAGAGTAGGGTAGGGTAGGGAAGGGTAGAGTAGAGTAGAGTAGAGTAGAGTAGAGTAGGGTAGAGTAGAGTAGAGTAGAGTAGGGTAGGGTAGAGTAAAGTAGAGTAGGGTAGGGTAGAGTAGAGTAGGGTAGGGTAGAGCAGAGTAGAGTAGAGAAGAGTAGGGTAGGGTAGAGTAGAGCAGAGTAGAGTAGAGAAGAGTAGGGTAGGGTAGGGTAGAGTAGAGTAGAGTAGAGTAGGGTAGACCCCCGGCCTGTGTTATGTGTCACACAAAGCAACCATTGACACCTGCGACAGTGTCATCCAGCCAACTCCAGCTCCATCACCACAATCACGGACCTCCAGATCAGGACCTTTGGAATCCAGTCTTCAACTTTATTTGAATAACACACATTTGTGTGAGAGAGACCAGAGAGAGACCAGAGAGAGACTAGAGAGAGAGACTAGAGAGAGACCAGAGAGAGACTAGAGAGAGAGACCAGAGAGAGACTAGAGACCAGAGAGAGAGAGAGAGAGACTAGAGAGAGACCAGAGAGAGACTAGAGAGAGAGACCAGAGAGAGACTAGAGACCAGAGAGAGACTAGAGAGAGACCAGAGAGAGACTAGAGACCAGAGAGAGAGAGAGAGAGACTAGAGAGACCAGAGAGACCAGAGAGAGACTAGAGAGAGACTTGAGAGAGAGACCAGAGAGAGGCCAGAGAGAGACTAGAGAGAGAGAAACCAGAGAGAGAGACCTGAGAGAGAGACCAGAGAGAGACTAGAGAGAGAGAGACCAGAGAGAGGCCAGAGAGAGACTAGAGAGAGAGAAACCAGAGAGAGAGACCTGAGAGAGAGACCAGAGAGAGACTAGAGAGAGAGAGACCAGAGATTGACCAGCGAGAGAGATCAGAAAGACCAGAGAGAGACCGGAGAGAGAGACCAGAGAGAGACCGGAGAGAGACCAGAGAGAGACCAGAGTGAGAGACCGGAGAGAGAGCAGAGAGAGAGACTAGAGAGACCATAGAGACCAGAGAGAGAGACCGGAGAGAGAGACCAGAGAGAGAGACCAGAGAGAGACCAGAGACCAGAGAGAGAGAGAGGCCGGAGAGAGACCAGAGAGACCAGAGAGAGACCAGAAGCAGACCAGAGAGAGGCTGCAAGCTTGAGGCCTCTGTGTGGAGATCTTTAAGGTCTTCCTGGTATCGTATGTAACTAATGGTGTATTATTGCCCACGTGACCCTCTGCACTGAACACAGCGTCACTCGGTGCAGATCAGACGCAGCCGCAGGAGGCGCTGTCCCCGCGGGCCTCGCGCTCCCGGTCCCGTGACTGCGGACTACACCTAATAAAGCACGTCTTATTCAGAAGCTCCTATTCGTGAAATACACATACACAGACACACGCACACACACAAACACACAGACACAGAGACACAAACACACACATACACACATACACAGACACACGCACACACACGCACGTACACACACACGCACACACACACACACACAGTGGATGGTAGATTCAGAATAGATTCATAAACAGTGTCTTCGGCCCAAACGCTCTGCTCCAACGATCAACACGAGCTCTTCCTTCTCACGGACGAACGCACGCGCACACATGATCACGCACACATGATCACGCACACGCGGGGCCATGAAGCATTATTTCTACTGCGTTTTCCACCGTCACGGACACATGTGTCACTCGTGGACTTCCATGAGCCCCGAGCCTGGAGCAGCCTTAGCCCCAACACCAGGCTCGGTCTGCGGCCGCAGCTCAGTCAGGGACCGGGAGAAGGGGACCCGCCTGCGCTGAGGCTGCTGCCCTGAGCCTCTGTCAAACACACTTCACACTCTTCATGATCACACACTCTTCGTGATCAGCGAGATACAGATTGTGCCAAAGCTGAGGCTCCAGGAAAGTTTACACCGCGAGGGTTTTAACGCTTTGTGGCCTGCGTGCGTGCGTCGTCAGGTCGGAGGACTCCATTTTGAAGACATGGGTGGATCAGAGACCAGAGAAGTGGGTCTGAGACCAGAGACGTGAGTCTGAGACCAGAGAGACGTGGGTCTGGGAAAACACATAGATTTATACAATATAGAGCAGATTTCACCCACGGCGCTTCACTGGGACTGTGCAGGCACTGGGCTTGATGCGTGTGCGTGTATGGGTGTGCGTGCACGTGTGGTGTGTGTAGTTGTGGGTGCGTGTGCGTGGAGCAGGACTGCGCCACATCAGGGCCGAGCTGGGACGTGCTTGTCGGAAGGAGCCATTACAGAATCGAGCTGGCCTGCAGTATTGGCGGGGTATGCGCGCTCCGACTGCACCTTCTGCTTAAGGTGTGGTCACGTGTGAGCATTAAAGGAGACATGCAGAGGCAGTGTACTTTAAAATGGGTTGATAGTAAATAGGTTTGATGACTTCCTGTTCAAAACTACATGAAGTGAGAGAGACCAGAGAGAGACCAGAGAGAGACCAGAGAGAGCAGAGAGACCATGAGAGAGACCAGAGAGAGACCAGAGAGACCAGAGATAGACCAGAGAGACCAGAGAGAGACCAGAGAGACCAGAGAGAGACCAGAGAGAGCAGAGAGAGACCAGAGAGACCAGAGAGAGACCAGAGAGAGCAGAGAGAGACCAGAGAGACCAGAGAGAGCAGAGAGAGACCAGAGAGACCAGAGATAGACCAGAGAGACCAGAGAGAGACCAGAGAGAGACCAGAGAGACCAGAGATAGACCAGAGAGACCAGAGAGAGACCAGAGAGACCAGAGAGAGACCAGAGAGAGCAGAGAGAGACCAGAGAGAGCAGAGAGAGACCAGAGGGACCAGAGAGAGACCAGAGAGAGACCAGAAACATGAGTCTCAGCAACACATCTGCCCCTGTTACAGAGTGAAAGTAATGCCCATATAAGGAAATAAAAAACAAAGGGAACATTGTTAAAACATAATAAGTCACATTTGTTTCTTTGGATCTTCTTCTTCTGGTCTCTCTCTCGCTCTCTGTTCTCTCTCTGGTCTCTCCCTCACTCTCTCTCTGTTCCTGCTAGTCTTTCTCTCTGGTCTCTCTCCCCATGGTCTCTCTCTCTCTCTGGTCTCTCACTTTCTCTGTTCCTGCTAGTTTTCTCTCTGGCCTCTCTCCCCATGGTCTCTCTCATGTATTTGTCACATCTTTAAAGCAGTGTTTTCAGACTGATAACCACAGACAGAGGACCCCCCTCCGCAGCCAATCAGCTCAGCCCACTCACTGTCTCACACAAAAGCCTCATGTTTCCTGGTCCTGGAGTCGGTCTGCTGTGTCTGGTTCGTGTCTAACATATAGTTTGCTGCTTTGACATAGAACAGTAATTTTCATGGTCGAAAACAGCCATAGTCGGTATCACCGGGGATCGTCGGCCCTTCGCGTCGCTGTGGAACGCTCTGGAAGTGACGCAGCGCCGCAGCCTCAGGGACTCTCACATTTACACTTTTGGGGGATTCTTCAGAGAGAGAGACAAGCGAGGCCTCCGTGGAACTCAGGTTTAGCTCATGTCTCTCCCACAGGAGGGAGAGCGGGGAGGGGGGTGAGGGAGAGAGGGGAGGGGGTGAGCAGTGAGGGGAGGCGGGGGAGACTCCACCGGATCAGGCCTAGCAGTAGCGCCGACTGGACTGTCCCCATCCGCTCTCACAAAACTGGATTTAGACCCAGTCCCAGACCAGGATGAGGTCCCGGGGGCGCGCGTCCGGCTCGGCCCGCAGTGGAATGGTAAGACACGGTCCTGTTTGCACGTGACGCGGCCTTTGTTTTTGATGTCGCGGTTGCTCCGTGCGCGTGTGCGCGCGGGGCTGTCACTCACAACACGCCTGTGCGAACACGGACCTGGCGTCTTTGGCCTTTTCTGCATGTCCTCAAAAAAAATAAAAAAAGAGAGACGCCTCGTGCACGCGCTTGCACACGGACGCGCGCCTGTCCATTTTGCACACACGCACGCGCACGCCGGCTCATCGCGTTTTGACTTTGGTGTTTGTGTGGGATTTGTTGCGGGGTTTTGGAGCTGGCAGCACGGAGCGGGTCTGGCTGCTGACCCCGCAGGCGCCGCTCGGTGGACGGCTTCATGCGGGGGGTTTCTCTCTCCGTCAGTCCTCACAGGTAGATGCTATGTTCCTCCCAGATGTAGCGGCTAAACCTGAGCCTAGCTGCGGCCAGCGGTGGATCCCTGACACGGCTACCATGTGGAGCTACTGGTGTTTATACTGGTGTTTATACTGGTGTTTATACTGGTGTTTTTACTGGTGTTTATACTGGTGTTTATACTGGTGTCACCGCAGGGACCAGTGGAGTCTGCTAGAGGCAGAATGTGACTTAGATGTACAATAGGCAATCAGTGACTTTAACTAGTGCTGTCACTTTGGTCTCTCTCTGGTCTCTCTCTGGTCTCTCTCTGGTCTCTCTCTGGTCTCTCTCTCTGGTTTCTCTCTCTAGTCTCTCTCTGGTTTCTCTCTCTAGTCTCTCTCTGGTTTCTCTCTCTAGTCTCTCTCTGGTCTCTCTCTGGTCTCTCTCTGGTCTCTCTCTGGTCTCTCTCTCTGGTTTCTCTCTCTAGTCTCTCTCTGGTCTCTCTCTCTGGTCTCTCTCTCTGGTCTCTCTCTCTGGTTTCTTGGTCTTTCATCCTATAACCGCTAGTATCACATGACAGTTTCCTTTTATCTAAGTCGCCCTGGTCTCTCTCTCTCTCTCCCTTACGCTCTTTCTCTGGTCTCTCTCGCTCTCTTACGCTCTCTCTCTGGTCTCTCTCTCTCTCTCTCTCTCAGACTGACCACGCCCCCTCAGACTAGCCACGCCCCCAAGTGTGAGCCAAGGTGAAGGCCCCTTCGTCTCTGTTGATGGTCCGGGTTCCACTTCCTAATTTATTACGCCTCTCGTTTCTTCTTCTGCATTTACCAACTGTTCCTTCCAGTTTATTACAGTTTAATAAACAGTTTATTACAGTTTAATAAACAGTTTATTACAGTTTAATAAACAGTTTATTACAGTTTAATAAACAGTTTATTACAGTTTAATAAACAGTTTATTACAGTTAAATAAACAGTTTATTACAGTTAAATAAACAGTTTATTACAGTTTAATAAACAGTTTATTACAGTTTAATAAACAGTAACACTAAGTCTCTGACGAAGGCAAAGTCAAAACGTGGTGAAGCAGAACCGACTTTTTACTCTTTTGTTTCAATGTCTTTAGTGAAAGGACGAACCGTAGCACCTGGAGGAAACCGCATAGAGGAAGAACTGCAGTAATAATAATGATACATCAAACTTATGCAACGTTCTACATCAGAAACAGAAATAAAAAGTTCTGAAGTGAGTCTGATCCTGGTCTCAAAGTCTGTGCTTGGACCGGGATTCGAACCCAGGACCTTCTCGCTCAGACCTCCAGGCTCTGAGCGAGAAGAGAGCGTCTGGAGAGAACGAGGGGTTTCTTTGTAGAATGTTGATGATGAGAGTTTTTCAAAGACTGTAAAAACTTCTGCAAACGTCTGATTTCTGTCTTTAGTTTAAGATGATGATGTCACCGCGGAGTGATTTCTCCAGTGTTTCCATTCATCCATTTTCTTCCACTTTATTCGTTGCCGGGTCTTGGAGGCAGCAGTCTGAGCCGCGACCTCTTCCTTTTGGTCTCTCTCTGTCTCTCGCTCTGATCCCACTGGTCTCTCTCTGGTCTCTCTCTGGTCTCTCTCTGGTCTCTCTGGTCTCTCTCTGGTCTCTCTCTGGTCTCTCTCGGGTCTCTCTCTGGTCTGTCTCTGGTCTCTCTCTGGTCTCTCTCTGGTCTCTCTCTGGTCTCTCTCTGGTCTCTCTCTGGTCTCTCTCAGGTCTCTCTCTGGTCTCTCTCTGGTCTCTCTCTGGTCTCTCTCTGGTCTCTCTCTGGTCTCTCTCTGGTTTCTCTCTGGTCTCGTTCTGGTCTCTCTCTGGTCTCTCTCTGGTCTCTCTCTGGTCATGCACCAATGAGCACAGACCCTTGATTTGAATGGACAGATATCATGTAGACTTTTGTTGTGTCGTTGTTGTTTTGTGGTTGTGTTGCAGTACCACACATGTCCTCCGGGGGCCTCACTGAGTCCTCTCTGTTTCAGGATGAACCGACAGCAGAATGAGTGGCCCTCGCCGTGACCGGTCCGTCATGTCCGCCGCCTCCTCCCTCAAACACGTCTATGGCTTCTCTAAGAGGGAGAGCGCGCCTTCCCCCTCCCCAGCCACCTCCTCCTTCCCCCCTCTGCGCAGACTGCAGTCTCTAACCGGCCGGGTCAGCCAGCAGGATTCCCTCCAGGCGCCGCGGCAGCCGGACCAAACCTGGGAGTGGCCCCGAAGTAAAGAGAGCAAAGCGGACGGTAAATACAGCTGGAAGAAAGAGGAATCTGCGGGACTCAAACCAAACCAGATGAGGATCGGGAATACTCATAACGAGATGAGGATTGGGAATACTCATAACGAGATGAGGATCGGGAATGCTCATAACGAGATGAGGATCGGGAATACTCATAACGAGATGAGGATCGGGAATGCTCATAACGAGATGAGGATCGGGAATACTCATAACGAGATGAGGATCGGGAATACTCATAACGAGATGAGGATCGGGAATACTCATAACGAGATGAGGATCGGGAATACTCATAACGAGATGAGGATTGGAAATACTCATAACGAGATGAGGATCGGGAATGCTCATAACGAGATGAGGATTGGAAATACTCATAACGAGGGCGTGTCCTTCTCCGGCCCGCCTAGTCCCGCCTTCTCCCTGGACAGTAACAGTCCCTTTGATAACGGTTTCCTTCAGTTTGAGTCGTCTCTGTTCGAGGACGACGACGGGAGCTGCTCTGAGCCTCACACCGAAGACCCGCGGGAGAACGGCGAGCACAGAGAGAGCTTGGAGGAAGGGGGCGGAGCTGAGGCGGCGTTGGAGGAAGGGGGCGGGGCGGAGGTGGCGCTGGGCGAAGGGGGCGGGGCTGAGGCAGCGGTGAAGGTGGTGACGCGGTCGCAGTCGTCCGGACAGCGCCGCAGATACTGGGACGCCTCCGACGACGAGTGGGAGAGCGACTCTGAGCTGTTCCTGTTCGCGGACAGCCCCCTCCGCAACGCACTGGTGAGAGACACACAAACACACACACACAGAGAGGGATACACAGCAAGAGAGAGCAAGAGATACACACACATATACAGAGACACACACAGAGACACACACAGCGAGACAAAAAGACACACAGAGAGATAGAACGTCTAGTCCTGGATTGGTCCTGGTTGATTTTCCACCTGAGAACAGCGAGTGCTAGTTACCATAGCAACACATTTATTTATAGTTAGCAGTTAGCATTTAGCATTTAACCTTTCAAAAACTGTTTTAGCTGTAATTCGGTTATCTCAACCAGTTTTATAAGTAAAAAAACCTTATAAATGACTTACTTTTAAGAAAAAGGTTGGAAAGCGAGACACATTTATTGGTTTGCGTCATGTTAGCATGTTAGCATGTGTGTTAGCATTTGTGTTAGCATGTGTGTTAGCATTTGTGTTAGCATGTGTGTTAGCATTTGTGTTAGCATGTGTGTTAGCATGTGTTTACATTGTGACTCCTGTGTCCTCCAGAGCACTCAGAGTAAGACTCTGGCTCCTGTGAAGTACTTTGAAGGAGAGGTGGTCTGGGCCAAACTGAGCCGGCGCCCCTGGTGGCCGTGTGAGGTCAGAGCGGACCCCAGTCAGGGCTGTTACCATCGAGAGAAAGGTGGGTCTGTGCTTCTACATCCTCCTGGTTCTACATCCTCCTGGTTCTGCATCCTCCTGGTTCTGCATCCTCCTGGTTCTACATCCTCCTGGTTCTACATCCTCCTGGTTCTACATCCCTCTGGTTCTACATCCCTCTGGTTCTACATCCTCCTGGTTCTACATCCTCCTGGTTCTACATCCCTCTGGTTCTACATCCTCCTGGTTCTACATCCCTCTGGTTCTACATCCTCCTGGTTCTACATCCTCCTGGTTCTACATCCCTCTGGTTCTACATCCTCCTGGTTCTACATCCTCCTGGTTCTACCTCCTCCTCGTTCCTCTCTCTCTGTGATCTTGGTGTTTATATTGTGATATTGTCTTTGTAAATCCAGATAAAAGCCACATAAGGATTGACCAATCAGAGGCCTTCATTCAGGTGGAAACTCCAGCTTGCCTTAGCAACCGTCTTAGCAACCACGTCTGCCCGCTACTGCGCAAAGCTAACATCAACCGAACAATTACCCATAAAAGGACACTGTCTGTTCAAATGTATGGCCGTAACAGGGGCAGACGTGTTGCTAAGACGGTTGCTAAGACAAGTTGGAGTTTCCCACTCGAATTAAGGCCTCTGATTGGTCAATCCTTATATCATTCATATCTGGATTTACAATATCACATTAGAAACACCAGGATCACAGAGAGTGATAAACCACATTTTTTAGCCCAAAATGAGATTATGTGGTTAGCCAGAGTAAGACAACAGCTAACTCTTGCTAAATATGCTAATGATGCTAACACTTTGATTCCAGAGTCGAGTGACCGTCCCTGCCGCCTGTACTACATCCGCACATTCGGGGAGAACGCAGAGGAGTTGTGGTTGGAAGATAAATTCATCCATATTTTCCACGGAGGGTATCAGTTCGACCAGCTGCATCGAGGAAAAGGAAAACACAAAGACAAGAGCAAGAAGAACATCGTAAGACCACGCTTTTGTCTCGTACTGTGGACTGTGGGGAATGTACTGGGGTATTTAGTCTGGTCTTACCATGTGTAAACTCTGGTCCATGATCCTTTCCTACATGTACGTCTGGTCTTACCATGTGTAAACTCTGGTCCATGATCATTTCCTACATGTACGTCTGGTCTTACCATGTGTAAACTCTGGTCCATGATCATCTCCTACATGTACGTCTGGTCTTACCATGTGTAAACTCTGGTCCATGATCATTTCCTACATGTACGTCTGGTCTTACCATGTGTAAACTCTGGTCCATGATCATCTCCTACATGTATGTCTGGTCTTACCATGTGTAAACTCTGGTCCATGATCATTTCCTACATGTACGTCTGGGTCTGATCCTAGTGGCTGCAGTTTCCTCGGTTGAATCCCCGCCGACCAATCAGAGAGCGGGGGAGGCGGGTGTTGTAGGTCGGTGTCGGTGACGTCAAGAGTTTGTGCTAAATTTTCTGGTTGTAGTTTGTCGGAGAATGCGATAGTAAAATAATCTGTTCTGGTTGAATCCAAATATCAAGAAATGTTGTGGCGCTACTCCCCGTTAGTGGCAAAGGAGAAGGCTAAAACTAGGCTAAATGCTAAAGCTAGGCTAAATGCTAAAGGCCTCACTCACTCTGGCTTATTACATACGTCACGGTAAACTCGGATCCAATTGTTTCAATCTGCAAAAGGAGTTAACCCCTCCCACCTGTAACGGGGGCAACGGAGCAAAACTCAGACCTTAGTACCAAATGAAATGAGTACAATGGTGTGGTAAGACCAGGCTACAGAGTATTGACTTCTAGAGCATTTAACCATGTCCCCAACCTCGAGTTGTGTTTGGATACATCCGGAGAGAGAGAAACCCGAAAGAGAGACTAGAGAGAGAAACCCGAAAGAGAGACTAGAGAGAGAAACCCGAAAGAGAGACTAGAGAGAGAAACCCGAAAGAGAGACGAGAGAGAGAAACCCGAAAGAGAGACTAGAGAGAGAAACCCGAAAGAGAGACTAGAGAGAGAAACCCGAAAGAGAGACGAGAGAGAGAAACCCGAAAGAGAGACTAGAGAGAGAAACCCGAAAGAGAGACTAGAGAGAGAAACCAGACAGAGAGACCAAAGATACTGCCCTAAAACTGAAGTCAATAATTCCCTTTGACTGACGTATCCAAAGTCGATGCAAGAGCGAGACAAGAGATCTTCACGTTTAACATCTGCATTTAATTATCTTTACAATCAGATACAGAATATTCAACAAAAAAAGTGCTCCTAAACTAATATGTCCCTCTCCTGGCCCTCGGCTGACTGACTGCCAATCTCCTCCCAGCAGTTTCTATCAAAGGGTCCGATGACGTCACAGATCTGGGACTGGTCTGGCCCCTGGTCCTGGTCTGGACCCGGTCTTCCATCTCCACCTGAGCAAACAATGCCCCCCACCACTGGGCGCCTGATTGTGTTGGACTTTTGCCCTCGTCGAGAGTGGGAGAGAGCATTTGTTTATTCTTGGAGTCAATAATTGTCTGGTTTTGTAAGCTGGTCATCTCTTATGATTCCTGAGTGCATATTCCTTTGTCTGATGTGCAGCATTTTGTGAATATTCGTCAGTCCCTCTTTTGACCTATATTAACCAATAGGTCACAATCTTTCAATATCCCTTCTGGGTGACGGGACTGGGGAGATTCCATCATCCTAGTTCTGGCTCGATATCTGTGAAGAGTTAATACAGGAAGACGAACAACACACAACCACATTGAAACATTCCTTCACTAAACTCTTTGATGACCACTGCTGTCATTCTGATTCTTCTTCAACCTCGTCTGTAATGTATGCACTAAAACTATTCACTATAGTTTAAACTATTCTAATCTATTTACCAATATGTTTGCATCTTTGCTTTTATTGAGCCATATTCTTAAACATATGTTTTTATCTAATAAATCTATCTATACTGTGGTTTGCTTTCATTATCAGTGGCTCTGTGCCATTTTGTGGGGCTTTGCTCATTTTTCCAAACACATTTTGTTGAACCAGGAAGTGCTGTCACTTCCTTCTCTCAGACCGTTTGGGATAAATGTACATCGTTAATCAAATTGGTATTATCCGTACAGGAGCTAATCTATTTTAGCAGGTTTCTCTGGGGTTAGTCCCTATACAACGGTATTTTGATTCTCTAATCTGTTGCTGACAAATTGACAGCTCTTAAAATTCTCAAAACTACCTAAAGATCTACTTTTGTGCTATACCCAAATTCATTAAAATGCTTTCAAATGTTTTTGAATCTGTGTTGGTTCTAATCGATCTCATTAATCTATCTCATTAGCTTTTTGCATTGTCAACATTCACCTATGTTTGAAACAAGTGAATTTGACAGTATCTAATAAAACTGTGCATAAACTGTAATGAACTTTATCTACCTTTGAAGTAAATACTTTTAGACATAATATGAAGGAAATGGTCCTTTTACCGTTTGATATTAGCCCTGTCTAAAAATAATCTCTATTTTTGAAAGCATCTATCTATTTTACACTCTATTGTGACTCCAAATCTTGGTTGTAGTTTGAGCCAAAGCATATTCCCAACTTTTGAGTTCTGATTGTAACAATAGCATTGGCAATAGACGATTTTTTATTGGCCGGTTCTTGTTCTGCAAATCACTATTCTATGTATTGTATTTCAGACAATTCCAAAAACAACACAGTCGTTCTCCAATATTAAAGACATGAATCTAAATCAAGTTGCCTGAAAGGGATTTTAACTATTTTAAAACGTTCTCTACGATTATAAGGCTATGAAATTAATTATTTAATAAACAAAAGCACATTCATGGCTTCTGTCCACTGCTTATAACTGTTTAAAGAGTTGTCCCAAACTTAATGTGTGTAAATACATCAGCTGTTTGTAATAAACAATAACATTTAACCTGTTCTCCAATGGAGCAGCTCAGAGGCTGCGTCAAGAGCAATGTTATATTTGAGCTATTTTTAGATTTAAAATTGTGTTAAAGCCTGTCGTTCTATGTCTGCATTTTAATACTACTCTCTATAAACACATCTGCACTAATTCCTACAGATGTGGAAAACAGAAGCATCTAAAATCTGACTCCATTTGATTCCTTTTTACTTTAGTTATTAGAACAATTTGACCTTATTGATACTTATTTCCACAATAGAACTATTTTGATTATTCACTAGTCTAACTATTATTACTATTGTTTATTCTGACACTTCAACCTATAGCTCCTCGAATCCAATGACATTATAGCTCCAGACTATTTCATTCTATTCTATTATTATCTTATTATTATATGATCTATTATCTTAAAGAGTAGATCTGTTTGATGTTATAAGCGCTATTATTTCTCCTTTTGAATTTGCACAACACTAAATTTAGAATGACCCCCTATGGGACAAATATAGAATTTTATTTCATTTTGGCAACTCCGAAAATTACTTAATAATTTTCCCATTTTGCTTTTTTTAGGCTGCCCTTTTCTATTATGTATTTGGTCTTGTAAATATATGTTTTACACTTCTTTCTAATGATTTAGAAGGTTAAGGACCATGACCACCTATGACAATAACATTACTATACTCCCTCTGTTGGTCGTGGTCCAAAGTATAAAACATGCGTCTGTGTGTGTGTGTAGATTACTGTTCCAATCATCTTCAGTTGTTCCTCCCGGATCGTCCTCAATTCATATTGTGGGCTTTGGTGCCAAAGTAGAGGCTCATTTCCTCATGATCCATACTACTGTCATCCCTGAAGCAGGTGCAGTTTATCTTTCATCTGAAAAACAAACATTAGAACACAAGAAACGCCCACTTTCCTCTCTTCGCATGGTGCGGCCTGTCAATCAATCCAATTGGGCAAAACATAACTGCATTGACAGACGGTGTGTGACATCAGGGCAGAGGCTGTAGCCAAATACAGACTTAACAATATGTATGTTTCTAATTTTACACTCCCCTAAATGTGAGTTACAAACCAAAGTTGTCCTCCGCCCAATGACCGCTCACTGCGGTTGGACCGAATCACTGTCCGGACAAACAGCAGAGGGAGGGGCTCCCAAGTACCTTCAGCAGGTATTTCATCTCAGGAGGGGCTCCCAGTACCTTCAGCGAGGTATCTTTTTCTAGTATCTCAGAGTACTTTCCGCAGAGTACTTTTCACACTCACACACACCCACGTTAGTATTGGTCCAGTTTGTTAAGGTAAAAAAAAAAAAAAAAAAAAAAAAAAACGTAGTGTATTTGACATGACGCACAAACATATAACATACACAAACATATAACATACACAAACATATAGACAACACAAGAGGCCTGTAATTTTAACTTGTTATATTTTTCCATGTCCAATACAATTGTCTCATGAGCTATTTTTATAGTTGCAAGCTTTCAAGCCTGCAGAACATGCAAACTTTGGAAGATTTTTCCTAAGAGGATCCATTTCCAAACTTTAGTGTTTAAACCACGTGGTCTTTACTCGGGCTTGTCACAAACTGTGTCCCCTATATTTTTAATGAGCCTCTGTTACTTAACAAAAAAAACTCATGCACGTGCAATAAATGTTTTTCCCTTTTTTTTTTTAAGCCAGTTCGGATTCCTTAAGAAATGTAAATTAGTTTCAAACTTTAATACTTCACCTTTGTTTCCCGTTCATGTGGAGAAGAAGACCATTGTCCTATGTGTGTTGTTGTACTTGCACCAATCATGTCCTCAGAAAAACTGCCAACAGTTATATTCAAAGACATAATTTCCTAATTGTTTCTAATTTAGCTATTTGGAAGAGAAACATGTCATAAAAGATTTCAAAAAATGTCCCTACATCGTTGTTTTCAACCAATGAACAGTTGGTTGCATCTCATGTGGTTATCAGAAATGAATCCCAATATCACCTTTAGCCAAAATTCAGAAATGCTTTAAATCATTTTTTCAAACTTTATTGTCTGAACAAAACCATTTTGTACTAAATGCAGCGTCCATTAAAAGCTGCAGTTCTCTTTCTAGCACCAGTTCAACTGTTGCATGTGACTGTTTTTTTAAATAATTAACGAGCCACGGTTCAATGGTTGAAAACACTGCTTTAAATATCCGTATTAACCAAGATCATGCAGTTAAAATCAATAATTCTAAACTTCTCCGCGTCTATAACTTTAAATAATTAACTAGTTTCATAATAGAGCTCCTCTACTTTAAATATACTGCTGTTCTAATCTCCTTGTGTCTCATGGCTAAAGCAAGAGTCTAATTAATCTAACGATTGTCCCTGTATTCTTTCATGCAGCTAAACTGTGGTGTTATGAACGAATAACCTAGCTAAATGTGTAAATATGACTTAATATGTCTCTGTGCGTTTGTTGCCTGTCGCTGTATATTTACCTTCTGTGTGTCTCATTTTAGGCCACCACGTCTCAAATGTCCGTTAATGTCTTTCTTTTACTCATGGCGTCTTTCAATGTCTTTTGTCTCAAAGTGTCCAATGTCTTTGTCTCCATGTCTTTTTCCATCTTCTTTAAACAAACACTTTCTTTCTTCTTCTTTCAATAATCACCTTCTTTCTTCGTTTCAATCACTTTCTCATGTCTTTTCTTTGTCTCAGTGTGTGTCCTTCTTCTTCTTGTTAGGTTTACACAACGTTCCTTCTCCGTGCACATTAACTCCACTCGGTTTGTGCAAAAGTCTGGTTCTTCTCCATGAAATGGGAGGCCGAGAGGGTCTTCTTCGAGAGTTCCTGTTAGCTGCTGCAGCCGATGCTGCAGTCTTTGCTGCCCCCCCTGTGGGTGAAACGGGGGAGACGCAGATGGTACCCGTGCTGATGGCGCCCGATTGAGGTCTTGTGGCAGACGATTTTGGCCAAATGAGAACAGACAGAAGTTTTCTCGGAAAAAAACAGACAAACAAGAAGCACAAACAAGGTGTGTTAATTACCATACAAAACCAATGATTAATACAATTCAAAATAAACCTATGAAATAATTAATTATTAACATTTTAAACATTAAATTCTGAAAACCAATTCTGCATTCAACTGCTATCCTAAGCCCTACTTTTTCCAAAAGTATAATGCTCTCTAAGATCATTCTAACTTTTATATCACCAAAATGTAGGGAAAAAAAAACTTGTCCAGATAAAAAATAAAAATAAAATAATGCCTCTTTATAATCTAACTCAAAGTTTCTGTGTTCCTATGACTCCATGTCAGTAACATTATCGTGTGTATATATGTAATTTTCTACAAAAAATTCTTTCTTCACGAGAGAGAGAGAAAGACAGAGAGAGAGAGAGAGAGAGAGAGAGAGAGAGAGAGAGAGAGAAGAGGAGAGAGAGGAGAGAGAGAGAGAGAGAGAGGAGAGAGAGAGAGAGAGAGAAGAGAGAGAGAGAGAGAAGAGAGAGAGAGAAGAGAGAGAGAGAGAAGAGAGAGAGAGAGAGAGAGAGAGAGAGAGAGAAGAGAGAGAGAGAGAGAGAGAGAGAGGAGAGAGAGAGGAGGACAGGGGGGGGGGGAGACGAGAGAGGACAGAACGAGGGAGGGGAGGGGCCGAGTGGCTTGTATGCCTCAAGCAGTTTTTTCAGAGAGGGAGCCCAGCGAGGGAGAAGGAGGGGCTGTGTGGCTTCTCAAACAAGAGGAGTACATGTACGACTGAAATACACCAAATTCATGAACATCCCCTTTAAAAAAATTTGCTACATTTTCCTCGTTTTTTATCGTGACAGATGTTTTATCAGTGGTGAGAGTTCTCTCACGTCAAACGGGACAACTTTACATTTTATTTAAATACGTCAGTAATGGAAAACCATTACAATTTGCTACCTGATTAATGTATCGAGGGTTCCAGCAGAATCTTTTTTTTCCTGATTCTCTGTAACTATCGAAAACATTACATCAGAATACAAGAGAAAACTCCCAACTGATCTTTTTGTCATTTCTTCACATGAAAAACTCATAGTTACAGCCAAGTGGCTCCCTTTTTTCTCATTAATCAGATCATTATTATCAGAATCCACATCTTTAAATACTGGCTTTTTCTGTTTAAAATGTCATTTTTTCTTTTTTTTTTTTCTCCATTTCCTTTTTTTTTTTTTTTTTCTTTTCCTTTTCTTTTTTTTTTTTTTCTTTTTTTTTTTTTTTTTCTTTTTTTCTTTTTATCCCCCTTCCTTTTCCTTTTTTTTTCCCGCCCCTTTTTCCCCCGCCCAGACCCCCGGCAGGGATATGGAGTTTTTATTATCCTATCACTTCTGACCCTAACTATTCCTATTTCTCTAATTCTATTCCTATTTTTTCACTAATATGCTTGTGTCCTCTCTGCACGAAGGTGTGCCTCTTTTGCACTTCTAAATCCTGTGGCTCTCTTTTCAACATCTATGTTCTGTTTTTTTTGGAGGGACCCATAGCTTCCCTTCCGTCCTACCCACCAAGGTTAAAAAACGTCTAACACCTGACTATTGTTCTAACAAATCCGAGGGACAGACGTACGTGTGATTCCGATAGAACGACGCCGTCCCGTCCAACAATCCCGTCCACAAAAGCAAAAACATCATACGGGGACAACAAAAACCACCCCCGCGCACAACCGCCCCCCGCCGCCGCCCCCCGATTCAAACAAAAAACAGCAACACAAATCAACGGCCACCCGCGCGAGAAACCGCTTCCCGGTCCCGTCAAACACAAGGGCCCCCACGCCCCCCCCGCGCCCGTCAACAAACAACCAAAACGAGACCCCACGCCCCGGCCCCCCGTCAAAAACCAAAAAAAACAACAATAAACCGGACGCACGCCCCACCCCACGCCACCCCGTCCAAACGGCGGTCCGTCGGTAGAACCTATCTGGCCACGCTGCAATCTGTCGAGCCAAAATCTCTCTCTCTTCTATTTAAAACAATGTGCAGATTTCCAAAACTGTGATCCGCTTACCTTAGAAGCGACCTTTTTGAAGAGCAGAGAGATTTTTCCAAACCCACAAATCCAGTCTCTATAACTGAGCTCATCTCTGTCCCGCTCCTGCCCCGATCACGTCGGGATTCACCAAAATGAAGTCAATAATTCCCTTTGACTGACGTATCCAAAGTCGATGCAAGAGCGAGACAAGAGATCTTCACGTTTAACATCTGCATTTAATTAATCTTTACAATCAGATACAGAATATTCAACAAAAAAAGTGCTCCTAAACTAATATGTCCCTCTCCTGGCCCTCGGCTGACTGACTGCCAATCTCCTCCCAGCAGTTTCTATCAAAGGGTCCGATGACGTCACAGATCTGGGACTGGTCTGGCCCTGGTCCTGGTCTGGACCCGGTCTTCCATCTCCACCTGAGCAAACAATGCCCCCCACCACTGGGCGCCTGATTGTGTTGGACTTTTGCCCTCGTCGAGAGTGGGAGAGAGCATTTGTTTATCTTGAGTCAAATTTTGTCTGTTTGTAAAGCTGGTCATCTCTTATGATTCCTGAATGCAATTCCGTTGTCCTGATGTGCAGCAATTTTGGTTGAATATTCGTCAAAAAACGCAAACAAACCTTTGACCATATAATCAGATATCATGATAATAAAGTCTCTGTTTTCTCTGTGTGAAATGTTCTGGTCCAAAGAGTTCTCGTCCTGATGTCTCTGTGTCTGTTTCAGATTGCTAAACGTTTCTTGGACTCGTGGAGCTGCTCTGTAGTTGAGGCTGAATCCATTCTGGAGGAAAGATCCAACATGGCGTCCTCCTTCTTCTCTGCCCTCGATGACGTCCCGGCGGCTCGCTCTCAGTCGCCTGAACTGGAAGCTCTTCCCGCCTCTTCGGACCTCTCTCCTGCAGACTCTTCACCCCTGAACATTGGATCTATAACATTTCCCAACGAGTCTTCTCTTTCAAGCAAAACAAGCACTTTAACCAAGACTTCAGGAACGAAAAAGTCAAAAAGTAAATTAAAAATAACTAGCTCTTTGGAACACGACAGTGGGGAATGTCCGTATTGTGATCTCGACTCGGTACCGAAGATCCTCTGCCCGAAAGCACTTGAACACCAGTCGAAGTCTAAAATTTCAATGTCCACAGATCATCAAATGTCTATAAAAGATGAAGAAGTTAAGACACAGCAACCGACAGTCCAAACTGGGTTGTGGTTCAGCAAGTCCAGCAAAGACCGTCGACCAAAAACATTGCCTGATCGAACTCTTTTCGGTAAAAAGAAGAACTCTTTTGTTGCTCCAAAAAAGGCGGTCAAAGATTGTCCTTTTTCCTCCAACATTTCTTTTGGTTTTGGTGAACAGGCGCACAGAAGCAGACCAATCGAAAACGGCGTTCTTGAACAACCAGTGCAGCTAAAGGACAAGAGAGAGCCCCCAGTGCAGCTAAAGGACAAGAGAGAGCCCCCAGTGCAGCTAAAGGACAAGAGAGAGCCCCCAGTGCAGCTGAAGGAGAAAGTGCAGGAGCCTTTCGGTGCGAAGGATTACTCTGAGGAGAAACTTGAAAAATGCGTAGAAGAGAAATCTGTAATCCACACAAAAAACACTAAATCGAATGTGTCTCTGGATGGAGATGCATTTTCTGCTAATTTAAATCCAATTAAAAATGTCCCACATCTAGAAAGCCTTGCAGCAAAGGAGTCTCAATCAGATGTAACTCTAAAATCATGCACCAACGATAGCTCTTTGGGCGTCAGCTACGACTTAGCAACAAGGTCGAGGACTAGTGTTTTCACTAAACCAAGTGGCAGTCAAAGCAAGAAAATCAAAAAATCTAAAACAAAGTGTGGCCTTACTCAGCTAAATGTAATCCTCCCAACTCCAGATGACTCTCTAATACCGGGAATCATTTTAGACGATTCCAATCCGTTGATAAAACTCATGAAAGAGGCGGCGTCACTGTCAAAAAGTAGGATTCCATTTGTGAAATTAATACGCAAAAGAATACCGGTTGAATTCGAGAAAAGTTCTGAAGAAACGGAAGATCAGTCCCAACAAGTAGAACAACCCATTGAGTCAGTGGTAGAATTGGAAATAAAAGCAAAAAATAACAAGAAGGGAAAAAATAAAAAGTCGAAAGGCAAGAAGTCAAAAGCTGCACATCCATCCAAACAGAAAAATGCGGTTTTACAACATTCAGAAGAGTTGGTTGGTGAAAAAGAGGCTGTGGTAGCTAGCGAGGGAACGACGATGTTAGCGAGTGAGTGTGAGGCAGTTTTGGTTAGCCAGAAAGAGACAATGCTAACTACTGCTAAAAATGCTAAAGAAACTGTTGCCCAATGTTCGGAAAATCTGGATGCTAGCACCAGGGAAGTGAAGTCAGACGCGACGGACGCAAAAGAAGTGAAAAAGCGTGGCCGCCACAGTAGACCCAAACAGCCGATGCCACGACTGACTCATTTGGGATCCACATTGAGATGCATCGAAAAGCTAAGCCGTCAAGAATTACTGAACAGTTTGAAAGCAGCCGAGGCGAACGTGACGAAAGAGCCGGAAAAAGAAGCAAGAACTGAAAAACCTAAAACACAAAAAAGTCGACGTCCCGCTAAAAACATTTCTGAAACAATAGTTAGTCCCGAAAAAGAGGCAAAGGAGGCGTCATCAGCGGAAAGTTTTGACAATCCAGAAAAACAAAAGATAGAAGAGACAAAAAGTACACCGGCACTCAAAACTAAATTGACGAAGCAATCAAAAAATTCCAAGAAGCAAAAAGTAGCTAGTCCGCCTAAAATCCCTTTGAGAAAACCGTCAAAAGAAAACAACATTTCGATACTAGAAGCTCTTGAGAATTCTGAGCATAAAGATTTTGATCAAGAAGACGGCGATTGTCTGAACGTTCAAGAACCAGGAAATACAGCCATCGTAAAGCCGTCTAGACCTGATGAAACCTCTTCAACTTGGCCCCTTAAGGCAACGAAGGCTCCTGATAGTGTTGAGGACCTTGGCGAGAGAAAAAAGTCTGACCTGAATTTGGAAAAAGAAACCAAACCATTTGTAGCAACCAAGTATAAAGCCGCCCATCCGGCTAAAATCCCTTCAAAATCAGTGGAGAAGAAAGACACTCAAGTGCAGGAGGTGGGTTTGGAAACGGCACTAGATAATTTGGGGAAATACCACAGACACCCTGGTGCCGAGTCAGCGAAAGGGCTTAAAAAGGCGAATGTTAGATCCTTTGCTACGCCTTCTTTGGAAAGTGAGAAAGAACGCAGTCAAGAAAAGATAACGTTGACTGACAAAGGAGAAACAAATTTGACAAAAGAATATGAAATAGTTCAAGTTAATAAAACTGCTCAACCATCCAAGAAGTCTTCCAGAACACAATCTAGACAAGCGTCACTATTGCAGAGTTCAAAAGACACTTTCCAGAATGAACTTACAGATCGAGATCCCAAAAGTATTGAGATGGTTGGGTCTAATGTGGCTAAAAACATGACTATAGATGACACGTATAAACTTGGTCGTTCTGCTAAAGCTTCTTTGTTGTCAGAAAGCCAAGACGACTTAAATCTGCGAGATCTCTGTGAGGGAACAAAAACTTCGAAACAACCAAATTCAAACTATAATGAATCTGAAAATCTCACAGATTCGAAACAGTCAACGATGGAGGTGAAAGTCAAAAGCAATGCGAAAAAGATTCCAGAGAGATTTAAAGCAAGAATTGATGACCAGTTTGACAACTTTCAAGTGTCAAAAGCAGTACATTTAGACCAGTCACCAGTTCTTAACGCGAATCAAGATTTTATCCTGTCCGTAAAAGACCAAAGTGCTGCGAAAGAGCATAAAAAACATCTCTTCAAAAAGCCCTTTAAGCAGCCGAAAGATCGTTACGGTCGATTCACGTCACTACATCGGCTTTCCCAAGAGTTGGCCTCAAAGTTAGACGCCTCAAAGTTAGACGGCTCCGTGGAGGCCGCCAGTGCTAATCTGCTGGAGCTCAACATTGCAAAGTTGAGTTTAGAAGATTCCAAGGAAACATCGGACTCTACAATAGCTGAGAAAGTTGTTCAGACTTGTGAGAAGGCCAAACGAAATAAAACTTTGACGCAGGGTTGTGAAGTTGGTGATAACTTGGGTAAACAAATCAGCTTTGATATTAGTGAAAAAGAAGAGAAACAGGATCAGGGCCAACAGCCTCAACCTCTTGTTAAAAAGCTCAGAGTGGGTCGTCCTCTGAGAAGTTTAGATAAAAAAGGGGATGCAGAAAATGTCATTCATTTGAGCAGTTTTGACGATTGGAACAAAAGTCCTGCAGCTCCGAATGTGGTCGATAGAGTTAATCTTGAGGAGTTGGAAGTTACCTCAGAATGTTCAATGCCAATAGTAAAAAAGTTGAAGGTTGGACGCCCGGAGAAAAGGACTTCCAAAGCACAGCCTTGTAAAGAAAGATTTGAGGAGGAGGATAAGCGACAAGAATTGGATCCAGAGGCGGCAAAAATTGATTTGATAGATACAGAAACTAAAGTAGATTCCGCGCCTAAGAAACTAAATGAGGATCACCATATAAAATGTAAAATTCCAAGCCAAAATTGCGATGTATTTGAAAGTGGTAAAAAATGCAATAACATGTATGTTGTGCCAACCAAGAATGAGGAAGTTCTGAACAACAAAAACTTGTCAAACTCTCTCTCTGACACAAAGCTGTCTCCTGTTAAGACAGTGAAATCTATTAGCAACGCAACCATTGTACCAAAATTAGCTTTAGAACAAGATATCAAACAACAAAACAGGCAACAAATGAATAGATCGAATTGTCAAGAAGTTGCCACAACATCTGGAGGTGATGCAAATCTAGAAAGCTTAATTTATCCACTTAAACGTTCAGTTATTAAGAAAACAAAAGATATCAGTTATTCATTGCCAAATCCATCGGCTTCTCCATTGAGAGAAATTGAAAAAATGATCAGTAATGAAATGACAAAGATTAATTTACCGGAAGTTGATAAAGTGATTTTGGCAGAACCAATTGTACAGAAACGAAAAGTCGGTCGTCCGTGTAAAATTGTAAAAGAAACATTTACAGATCTAACGGAAAATATTGCAACACCTGAAGTTGAAGTATGTCAACAGAAATGTCAACCAATCAGTGACGTGCAAGACGACCACAGGAACACGGCTCAAATTAACACTGCTCAAATTAACACTGCTCAAATTAACACTGCTCAAATTAATACGGCTCAAATTAATACGGCTCCAGTTGCGACGGAAGCAATAAAAGCGACAGAAACGAAAACACAAACGGTCCAGAAGCGAAAAGTTGGACGTCCTGCGAAGATTTTAACGCCGGCAACTCAACCATCGGCAGTCGAAGTAACTACTGACAGAGTAAAATTTATGAATGACTTGACTGTAAAGACAAAGATACAGGAGGAAGTCGCACATCTGGAAAAGCCTTCTTCAATAACTAAACAGCTTGCTAGAGTTTCCGGTAAAAGTTCAGATGCAATGACTGTTCAAGCTAGCGACAAAGCTAAAGCTGGTGCTATTGTCTCTGAAAAATCTTGCTTAAAGTCAGCAACAGAAAGAGGGACTGCAAACAGTAATGTTTCAGATAAATGCCTGAGGGTGATCAAAGCTAATGCTAATTTGGAATTGACTGAGATCTTGCTTGATTCCAGCAAACAGGCCTTGTTTGATACCTTGAAAGTTGTTCAGTTTCCAAAAACTCACCCAGAACTCAATAAGTCATGCTTGGATGTGGGAGGCAGTGAAGAAAAGCAAGATCCAGCAAAAGGTGGAAAGACACTCAATGGAGAAGCTTTAGAAATCTTAGATGAATGTTTGAAGGTCAAGAAACCGCAGATTGGTCGACCCCATAGAACGCCAGAGTTGCAAGATTGCACAGCGTCAGATTCATCTGCGGAAAAATCAGTTGAACTGATCTGCAATCAAGCGATGACGAATACAAGTGAAAGCCGGTTGGGCGAAGTTGTAGATGGAATTGGTCAAAAAGGAACTGATGTGACGTCTGTTAAGGCAAAGAAAGTTGGACGACTCTCCAAAAACTCTGCAAAAACACTGACAGATCAAGATACAATTGTGTCGACGTTTAAAAGCCTTGAGGAATTAGTCCGTCAACAAAATACAAAACATGTTGCGCCAATGATAGAAGCAAAAACTATACATTTGAGAAAGGATTTATTATCAAGGTGTAATCACCAAAGAACCAAAAGCCCACAGAGTCTCATGGAGGAGTATTTTGAGAAATCGCCAATCCAGCAAAACCTGACAAACAAGGATTGTATAAAGTCTAGGGATATGGACCATCAAGATGCATTATTTTCTGAAAAATCACAGGAGAAGGTTGCTAAGCCAAATGCAGAGTCTAATCTTGAGCCACTAATAAAGAAATTGAAAGTAAAGAAGTGTGTTATAAACCTGTCACAGTCAATGAAGCCGGCTATGCATAAGATTTCCACGTCTCAAAATGCAGAGGATGGCAAGAGCGTTTCAAAAAGTCAAAATAATAAGGAAACAATGCAAGATGCTAAAGCGTCTGTGGATTTGGAAGCATTGACAATCGATAAAACAAGAGTCAAGACAGTTAAACAAGATTGTAATCAGAAAACAGCCAAAAGTTTAGTAGGAAGTCAAATGTTATTGGACAGCACTGATCTGAAAAGGGATTCCAATGCACAAGGCTTGACAGATGTCTCAAAGAGCAAGGGTACAAAATCAATCGAAAAAATCACTTGTAGCTTGGTGAAATTGAAAGAAAAAGGCCTTCCAACCGAAAATAGTAGGTTACATCCTGTTGGTGAAGCTACAAGCAGAAAAGATGAGACTTTAGATGTTGAGAGATTGGAACTTTTTGAGAAACGCCTTACTTTGGATTCTACAACTCCTGAATGTGCTTCGGTCAATAAACGGCAACATATTGCAAAGAAATCAGAGACTATAAATGTAAGTAAAACCTTACCTGAGCCGCCTGCGCATCTCCCAGCTAGCAACAGACTCATGACGCGAGCTTTCGAGGCTATGGAGGACACGGAGCAGCAGAAAGAGGTCGAGAAATCCAAAAAGAAACACTCAAACTCACCCAGAAATATGGTCAAAGATGGACACAGCTCGACATGGAAACCAGAGACAAATTTAGACTTTTGTAGCGACTTGGAATCCGTTGAAAATTGCTGTAACGACGGGTATTCTAGCCGAAGTGTTTCTCCGGTTTCGTCAACGTCTTCGAATGCAAATGACTTGGAGGCGGATGTTAAAAGCGAAGAGGAAGGGGTTTTGATATCCTCCATCCCTCCAGCCGACTTCGTACCTCTGACGTCAAGGGTTTCCATGAAAAAGGGTGAACAAGACACGCAGGCGAGCTCTCCGTTCTCCTTCATGAGCGCCTTGACGGACGTGGACGAGGTTTCTTTTCAGTCTGTGAGCGACACGAGCGACGGGAAGGCGGTGACGTTCAAAGCGGACGCCAATTACAAATTCAGCACTTTCCTGATGATGATCAAGGACTTGCACGACACGCGAGAAAAGGATGGCGCTCCTTTGGAACTGGAAATCGGGCCTCCGAGCGCACACATCAAAGAGGAGCCGATGGTAATGCCTCCGGTTGAGATTGCAAATCAAGACGTTAAAGAGGTGGAGGAAAGCCAGTCGCCAAAAAAGCTTTACCTGAAGAAAACCAGCTCTGTGTGGGTTAAGAAGAAGAGCAAAGGGGGGCGCTGTGGACCTGGCGTGCCCGGGATTAGGTCTGGGGCCGATCAGCGGGAGGACAGGGACTTTGTGGTTCATCTGCCGGAGAAGCATAAAACCTGGGAGTGCGTCCAGAAGGAGGTAGAGGACACAGGGCCACAGGTGAACGGAGAGAAGAGGACCAGTCTCATTATCAAAATCACAGGGGACAAGACTCAAGAAGGTGAGAACCAATCGGAACCCTTTATATCATTCTGTGATTGAGAGTGTTATAAGATATGGTAAAGGTCATGGTAGTGAGGGAGCATCCTTCATTGCTACAGATATTTGAGGATTATTAGACAAGCAAAGAAAAGCACCTCAGACCCTTCACATGGTCTTAAACCGAGTACCAACTACTAATAAGAAAAAATACCTCAACTGGTATAAGAACTCGCTCCTCACAGAGAGAGAATGCGGGCCATCGAGCAGAAAGAAAAGAAACATTTTCACATGTATTTTGGCCTCTCTCACATCTATGGGACGTCACCATAGTGTTAGCCTTAATGCGCAAGAAGCTGATTTTAACATAAGCTAGCTGGAATTTTTGGACCGTGGTGTATAAGCAATTAAGATGATACAGCTCGGAGTATGCGGTTATGTGATTTTGACTCCTAAACCTAACCTGATAGCTCAATGAAGCCCAATAGGGAAGTGCTCATGGGGAAGTTTGGCTCCTCTCTCTGGCTCCTATTGACTAATGTAAAAGAAAACTCCTTTAACTCAGTAGCTGTTTGTGTGACATCACCATTTTGGGCTTAAATCCGTGGTTTATCGCTCTTGGTGATTTAAAGGTTGACCAATCAGAGGTCTGAGGAAATCTCCAGCTTGCCTTAGCTACCGCCTTAGCTGCTCTAGCTAGCTTAAGTTCAAACCAACTTCTTCCGCATTAAGGCTAACGCTGGTGATGTCACACTACAATCCTAACTTCTCAATTATTTTTTTAGGCCATAAGCGAATCAGAAAACCCAGCAAACGACTGATTGAATGGACGGAGGAGTATGACCAGATATTTTCAAACCGAAAGAAAACCAAGAAGCTGTCGACCGACAAGGTAAAACTTTATTAACTTATAGCATCATGTGTTCAGCCTCAGTCCTGGGTCTACAGCCTCAGTCCTGGGTCTACAGCCTCAGTCCTGGGTCTACAGCCTCAGTCCTGGGTCTTCAGCCTCAGTCCTGGGTCTTCAGCCTCAGTCCTGGGTCTACAGCCTCAGTCCTGGGTCTACAGCCTCAGTCCTGGGGCTACAGCCTCAGTCCTGGGTCTACAGCCTCAGTCCTGGATCTACAGCCTCAGCCCTGGGTCTACAGTCTCAGTCCTGGGTCTACAGCCTCAGTCCTGGGTCTACAGTCTCAGTCCTGGGTCTACAGCCTCAGTCCTGGGTCTACAGTCTCAGTCCTGGGTCTACAGCCTCAGTCCTGGATCTACAGCCTCAGTCCTGGATCTACAGCCTCAGTCCTGGATCTACAGCCTCAGTCCTGGGTCTACAGCCTCAGTCCTGGGTCCACAGCCTCAGTCCTGGATCTACAGCCTCAGTCCTGGATCTACAGCCTCAGTCCTGGGTCCACATCCCGCTTCCTTTGGACCAATGGCTCCTATGTGTTTATTATCGTTGCATTTCTTTTGTTCAAACGGTTTGATTCTCTGATCTGTTGTTGGTGGATCCACAACTTTGTAAAGTCCTCTGAGACGCCTGCATCACAAATACATAAAATGGAATGTTGTGTTTGTTGTTGTGTAAAGGAGCAGACCTCGCCGGACTCGGAGCAGCCGTCCTCGCAGAACTCCTGTGTGTTTCCAGAAATGCAAACTCCGCCTCCTGAAGAGCCGCTCGCCACCGCTGCCCCCGAACTACAGCTGCCCCACGCTGAAAACTCCAGCTCCCAGAATGCACCAGTGATCTCCGTGGATACGCTCACCCCGCCCCCCGAGACTGAGCCTGCACCGACAGAGGCCGGGAAAGACTCAGGTGAGGACATGGGAATTTCTCTAATCCAAGACAAAGGAGGACACAAAACATTGCAAAAAAATCACATTGAAATATTTTTATTTTATTAAAGTATCCTCCACAAGCTTCACTAAAACCTTTTCTGCATCAAGCTTAGATCAAAAACACATAACTGGTTGTTTATATCTCTATATTATAAGTTATACCAACAATGCCAAAGGGGTACCACAGGGGTCGATCCTGGGACCTCCTCTGTTCGGTCTCTATGCTGCTGATAGGTTAACTTGCATTATGACAGCCACATCCAATCAGAAAGATCAGAAGCTTTTTACCATCTGAAAAATATTTCTAGAATTAAAAACATATTGGTCGACCAGATTTAGAGATTCTTTTCTTGCCTTTTTCTCCAGTGTCAGACTGTAACAGCTGCTCACAGGTCTCTATGAAACATCTGCAGCATCTTCAAAACTCTGCAGCTCGAGTCCTGACTAGAACCAGGAAGTACCATATTTGTAGTCCTGGTTTCAGGTCTCTGGAGAAAAGACTTTAAAGGAGCTATACCCGTTTCTGCAGGTTTAAATGTTTAGCCCCGCCCCCAACTCGCTCACAGGCTTCTCATTTCCCCTACGCTCTCATCGCACGGAGCCATCTAGTTTTATTTGAGATCTGATACGTATGCTAACATTAGCGTGAGCGCAACTTCTTGTAAACTGTGCAACAATCACTGATGAAATGGTACAAAAGCAACGCACTGCTAACACAATATATAACTGAAAGATTACCGCTAGTTTCACGTCCGAATGTGGTCCGAGCGTAGATAGTCCGAGCAGAGATAGTCCGAGCGTAGATAGTCCGAGCGTAGATAGTCCGAGCGTAGATAGTCTGAGCGTAGATAGTCCGAGCGTAGATAGTCCGAGCGTAGATAGTCCAAGGGTAGATAGTCCGAGCGTAGATAGTCCGAGCGTAGATAGTCCGAGGCGGTCCCGCAGGTCTCTCCCATAGCCCAGTCTCTCCAGAGGATACGATGTAAGCTAGCTCTGGTCAGGGCTTGGTTTCTTCTTTGATCATGTTTAGCTTTAGTTCCTCTTCTCTTCCTCACTGTTGTGTGGTTTGGGCTGTTTTGCTGTGTCTGCAGTTACAGCCAGAGGAGTTATAGCCACTTATGCTAACATGCTACTGTGTTTAGCAGCGCTGTAGAGGCTACAGGACGCAGCCTCGTTCTGTGATTGGAGGAGAGCGGGCGTCACGCTAAGTCTCTACTCAGCACTTTTTACGCCTGAATTCATACCATAGACTGTATATATTAACGGCCGTAGTCAGGCCTATCTCCGCCGTTCTAATGGCTCAAAAACTGGGCTTTCATGGAGTGATTCAAAATGGCCGCGTGGGCTGGAAAATGTGAAAAAAACAGATCTGCGCATGCATCAGCCGGCACAGCTCCATTCATTTAAACAAGAGACATCAAAAGTCCATAGCGACTAAACTAGACTGGTCAATGCTTTAGCCAATGCTAAAGGTTAGCATTGGCTAAAACCCCTGGTATTGCAGCATGTCAGCGCACGTCATTTTGGCCACTTTTGAGCCGTGACCCGCCCACACTGGTTCATACACAGCTGAATCATTGAGCTCAAGTTTTCAATTAAATAACAGATTATATACAACTTGTAAGTAGTAATATGAATGAATGAATGAATGAATGAATGAATAGTTTTTATTATTGTGTCTTGCATACACACTGTATGCCCAGCCCTAATGGGCTTATAAGACACCAGTAACACCAACAAAAGCACCAGATGCCAGACAATAGGCACACTATACAATACATAAACTTATTTAAACAAACAAGTCTGCCAATTCATAAGTATTTTTATGAACTCATTAAAAAAAATCGAGTATAGCTTCTTTAACGCAGCTCTGTTTGTTTCTCCGAGGCCTCGCACCAAAGTCCATCTGTGACATGTTTTTATAATAGTAATAATTTTCTTACGTAACATAACTCATCTCATTCTAAAACTGATTATTGTTATTGTTCTAAAACTGATTATTGTTATTGTTCTAAAACTGTTTATTGTTATTGTTCTAAAACTGTTTATTGTTATTATTAACAGAAGGAAATTCAGTTTTGGAGAAAAAACGAAAGCGGAAACCGACTCAGAAAATCCTGGAGTATTGTCTGGAAGCAGAGGCCGCTCCGTCGCTCAAGAAGAAGGTACGACTTTCAACAACCGCCTTTTCCTGCACATCGGAGTCTCGAAAGCCGTTTACAATTAGTTTTTTGTTTTTTTGGGAGTGGGGGTTCCATTACAGGGAGGCGCATGCAAGACCTATTGTATATAAGCTTATTTTTAGTGGTAGGTTGAAACCGAGCACCCGATGGAAACCTCCTCAGACAGCGGGGAGAACATGCAAACTTCCAATCAGAAAAGACCACTGGTCCTAACCGGGATTGTGAACCCCGGACCTTCTTGCTGAGATGCTCGAGTGCTATCCATTTATCCACCCATTTTAACTGTTTTCAACAGTAATAATTAACAAACCCCCCTGTTCAGCTGCCATTAACTACTTCCAAACGTTAAATGTAATGAGATTTTTGCACATTTTTTCAATGACAAGGTTGTCAAGGCATCAAAAACGCCATTGTCTAAATCCCCAGGATAACCATCAACATCCATAAAGGCTCTTTTAGCTACACTACTTTGCACCTGTAAATGATGTCAAACTGTCCACGAGTTAATCTCCGATTTTTGAGCTCCTCCACTTGCAGCTGGATGTACTACCACTAGATGTTCTAAGTGTCTGTTCTTAGCTATCTGTTACCTTCACTCACACAGATAGTAAACATGTCCCTTCATTCTGGAATATTCCCAAAGTCCCTTAATAACTGCAGTCATCTGGCCGCCTGCTTAAAAGAGGCAGTCTGTATTCTACGGTACTCAACAACTATCGTCCCCTCTCTAATCTGTCCTTTATGGGGAAAGTCCTCTGAAAAAGTTGTCTACCTACAGCTTACAAGATTTCCTTATAATCAACAACTCATTGTGATATGTTGTCCTTCCCGTCTTTAGACCCCACCACAGCACTGAGACTGCTCTCGCACAGTAACAAACGATATCCTGCTGAACACAGACGCAGGCAAATTTCTCAATCTTAATCTTGTTAGATACTAAGTGCAGCCTTAGACACTGGTCGAGCCATGAGATGCACTTAGCAGAACTAGGGACAGGGGTGAGCTTCGCTGGTACCGCCCTAAGATGGTTTATGTCTTACCTTGAAGACAGGAATACTTTGTGGAGATTGGAAACTTTGTCACATATCATATGGCCTGACCTGTGTGAGTACCACATGGATCGATCCTGTGACCTCTTCTGTTATAAATCCTCTACATCTGCCGTTTTAGGTCATTAATAAGCCGACAACAAAGTTATCCGATCATAACAATGGGCAGACGACACTCAGAGTCAAATTCGCACTTATGAGGAGACCACATGGACCATGGACTCCCTCCTTCACATATCCAACAGATCAGTGAGTGTGATGCAAAACAACTTCCTTCACTAAACGCGAGACAAAACTGAAATATTGTCTTTGGTCCACGAGAAACAAAGAGATAGGCGTCTTCTGTCACCTACATCTCTCACCCTAACCCCTTCAAACACTTCAGAAATACTAGGGGTATTACGGACTCTGGGGGGGGGGGGAGGGGGAGGGGCGGTGGTGGGGGGGGGGGGGGGGGGGGCTCGGACTATAAATTTTAAGATCCACATCAAATCATTAACATCACAGCATTTACCAACTAAAAAACATTGCCAGGATCAAAAAAATAGTGTCCTAAGTCTGACTTGGATATTCTTATCCATGCATTTTTTGTCCCCTCCAGTAGTTTAGACTACTCGCAATGGCCTGCTCACAGGTCGGTCCAAACAGGCAGAAAACTGCGCAGTACATTCAAAATGGCAGTCAGCTCGAGTCCTGACGAGAACCAGGAAGTACGACCATATAGTTCCTGACTATAACCATTAAGTACACTCATATTAGTCTGACTATAACCATGAAGTACTACCACATTAGTCCCTGACTAGAACCAGAAGTACGACCCACATTAGTCTGACTATAACCAGGAAGTACCTACCTCATTAGTCCATCCTCAGTTTCTCCCACTGGTCTTCCTGTGGATCAAGAATAGACTTTACAACAGCTCTGCTTGTTACAATCTCTCCATGGACTCGCACCATAATAATAGTTAGTGTACCTGGTAACCCATATGAACCAGCCCGGACTCCGGAGGAGCACAGTTACTGTACTCCTGGCATGGACTCTGAAGGAGCACAGGGACTGGACTCCTGCTGGGAGCTCTGAGAGCACAGGGACTGGACACCTTCTTGGACTCAGAGGAGCCAGGGACTGACTCCTGCTAGGGACTCTGAGGAGTGCACGATGTAGTTCTGGAGTTTGGATGTTTGGTCCTGGACAGTGGCTCTCACACTCACTAGTCCTCGGCCTCCTTCTTTACGGCTTACGTACAGTCTCAGGGTGCTGGATTTGGGATGGAACCCGCCATGCTTGGTAAGGAGCTTTCGAGTTTTAACATCCGTGGTCTGAATCTCTTCCTTTGGCCACCTGATTATTCCTGCAGGGTATCTGATCACTGGCAGGGCGTAGCTGTTAATTGCCCGGGCCTTGTTCTTGCCATTGAGCCGGCTTCTTAGGACCTGCCTTACTCGCTGGAGGTATTTGGCAGTTGCCGCTTTCCTCGTCACCTGTTCGAGGTTGGGTTAGATACTGTGGTATACTGAGATACTGTGGTATACTGAGATACTGTGGTATACTGAGATACTGCGGTATACTGAGATACTGTGGTATACTGAGATACTGTGGTATACTGAGATACTGTGGTATACTGAGATACTGTGGTATACTGAGATACTGCGGTATACTGAGATACTGCGGTATACTGAGATACTGTGGTATACTGAGATACTGTGGTATACTGAGATACTGTGGTATACTGAGATACTGTGGTATACTGAGATACTGTGGTATACTGAGATACTGTGGTACACTGAGATACTGTGGTACACTGAGATACTGTGGTATACGGAGATACTGTAGTATAGTGAGATACTGTAGTATACTGAGATACTGTGGTATACTGAGATACTGTAGTATAGTGAGATACTGTGGTATACTGAGATACTGTGGTATACTGAGATACTGTGGTATACTGAGATACTGTGGTAGATACTGTGGTATACTGAGATACTGTAGTATAGTGAGATACTGTGGTGTACTGAGATACTGTGGTATACTGAGATACTGTGGTATACTGAGATACTGTGGTATACTGAGATACTGTGGTATACTGAGATACTGTGGTATACTGAGATACTGTGGTATACTGAGATACTGTGGTACACTGAGATACTGTGGTACACTGAGATACCGTGGTATACTTCAAACCTGTGGGAGATACTGTGGTATACTGAGATACTGTGGTATACTGAGATACTGTGGTACACTGAGATACTGTGGTATACTGAGATACTGTAGTATACGGAGATACTGTGGTATACGGAGATACTGTGGTATACTGAGATACTGTGGTATACTGAGATACTGTGGTATACTGAGATACTGTGGTACACTGAGATACTGTGGTATACGGAGATACTGTGGTATACTGAGATACTGTGGTATACGGAGATACTGTGGTATACTGAGATACTGTGGTATACGGAGATACTGTGGTATACTGAGATACTGTGGTATACGGAGATACTGTGGTATACGGAGATACTGTGGTATACTGAGATACTGTGGTATACGGAGATACTGTGGTATACTGAGATACTGCGGTATCGAGTCACCATCCTCGTACATTTCTCGAGTCTGAATGACATCCCGATGTCATGGCTGTAGATCTATATATATATATAGATATATATATCTATATATATATACAGTGTTTCCCACACATAGACTAATCTGTGGCGCACCGCCACAGATTAGAGACCGCCCGCCACAAATTGCGTTTCGTATTATATATATATATATATTTTTTGTTACGCTATTTAAAACATGCATCGTCTAGTGCCGCCGCAGCGGTCAATTTGACAGCGGGGAGGGGGGTTTAAAATGTGGCGGCCCTTCGTAACTCTCACTCAAGCTACGCGTCTCTCCCACATACAGAGACCTACATACACACAGCCCCTCCCCTTCGTGCACACCGCGTGTCTCCGTCTCCATCAGCGATCATCGCTGTAAGCAGCTGTGTCTATTAATTTTGGTGCAGAGAAGACGGCTGGTGAAGTTCACTAAAGGTTGGTATCCCGTGATCTCGTAAATCACACATTAAAAAGTGCTGAATGTTCAGTGTCAAAGTTGAATTTCCGTCCCGACTCCCTTAACAAGCGATAACGCTTTCTTTATAAAGTTAATTAGTCGCAAGTTTGCGGTATGTAGTTGGGTTGTCGGGGTCAAAACACTATGTAGCAGCTGTAGCAAGAAATAAAGTTATAAGTAACGTTATGTCATTTTTTTACTCTTACACTGAATGTTTGCTGCTTCAATCCAGATGAGTATTGAACAATATTTTCCGCGATTGAAAAAGACACGCGTTGAGGATGAGGATCAGCCTGAACCAGAGGTATCGGTCTGAAACAGTCCGCAGTGTAATTAGCTATATAAGTTGTTTACAACTTATATAGCTAATTCGTACGTTGTAAACAACTTACGACCACCACACATTGCCTTCAAACCTGTGGGAAACACTGTATATATATGTATATATATATACAGTATATATATAATATAATATAATATATATATATATATATTATATTAAATACTGTATGTATATATATATATATATATATATATATAAAAAATTGTCCACTCACCTTTGGCCCTCCGCGGGCGGTTATCCCTCTCTAAGCTCGGGTCCTCTACCAGAGGCCTGGGAGCTTGAGGGTTCTGTGCAGTATCTTTGCTGTTCCTAGCACTGCACATTTCTGGACCGAGATGTCCGAGGTTGTTCCGGGGATCCGCTGTAACCTCTTCTAGCTTCAGGGTCACTGCCCCGAGTGCACCGATCACCACGGGCACTACTGTGACCTTTACCCTCCAGGCCCTCTCACTACTGTGACCTTTACCCTCCAGGCCCTCTCACTACTGTGACCTTTACCCTCCAGGCCCTCTCACTACTGTGACCTTTACCCTCCAGGCCCTCTCACTACTGTGACCTTTACCCTCCAGGCCCTCTCACTCCTGTGACCTTTACCCTCCAGGCCCTCTCACTCCTGTGACCTTTACCCTCCAGGCCCTCTCACTACTGTGACCTTTACCCTCCAGGCCCTCTCCAGCTCCTCTCTGAGACCTTGGTATTTCTCAAGCTTTTCATGTTCTTTTTTCCGGATGTTACCATCGCTTGGAATTTCCACGTCCACCACCACGGCTGTCCTCTGCCCTTTGTCCACCACCACGGCTGTCCTCTGCCCTTTGTCCACCACCACGGCTGTCCTCTGCCCTTTGTCCACCACCACGGCTGTCCTCTGCCCTTTGTCCACCACCACGGCTGTCCTCTGCCCTTTGTCCACCACCACGGCTGTCCTCCGCCCTTTGTCCACCACCACGGCTGTCCTCTGTCCTTTGTCCACCACCACGGCTGTCCTCTGCCCTTTGTCCACCACCACGGCTGTCCTCTGCCCTTTGTCCACCACCACGGCTGTCCTCTGCCCTTTGTCCACCACCACGGCTGTCCTCTGCCCTTTGTCCACCACCACGGCTGTCCTCTGCCCTTTGTCCACCACCACGGCTGTCCTCTGCCCTTTGTCCACCACCACGGCTGTCCTCTGCCCTTTGTCCACCACCACGGCTGTCCTCTGCCCTTTGTCCACCACCACGGCTGTCCTCTGCCCTTTGTCCACCACCACGGCTGTCCTCTGCCCTTTGTCCACCACCACGGCTGTCCTCTGTCCTTTGTCCACCACCACGGCTGTCCTCTGCCCTTTGTCCACCACCACGGCTGTCCTCTGCCCTTTGTCCACCACCACGGCTGTCCTCTGCCCTTTGTCCACCACCACGGCTGTCCTCTGCCCTTTGTCCACCACCACGGCTGTCCTCTGTCCTTTGTCCACCACCACGGCTGTCCTCTGCCCTTTGTCCACCACCACGGCTGTCCTCTGCCCTTTGTCCACCACCACGGCTGTCCTCTGCCCTTTGTCCACCACCACGGCTGTCCTCTGCCCTTTGTCCACCACCACGGCTGTCCTCTGCCCTTTGTCCACCACCACGGCTGTCCTCTGCCCTTTGTCCACCACCACGGCTGTCCTCTGCCCTTTGTCCACCACCACGGCTGTCCTCTGCCCTTTGTCCACCACCACGGCTGTCCTCTGCCCTTTGTCCACCACCACGGCTGTCCTCTGCCTTTGTCCACCACCACGGCTGTCCTCTGCCCTTTGTCCACCACCACGGCTGTCCTCTGCCCTTTGTCCACCACCACGGCTGTCCTCTGCCCTTTGTCCACCACCACGGCTGTCCTCTGCCCTTTGTCCACCACCACGGCTGTCCTCTGTCCTTTGTCCACCACCACGGACTGTCCTCTGCCCTTTGTCCACCACCACGGCTGTCCTCTGCCCTTTGTCCACCACCACGGCTGTCCTCTGCCCTTTGTCCACCACCACGGCTGTCCTCTGCCCTTTGTCCACCACCACGGCTGTCCTCTGCCCTTTGTCCACCACCACGGCTGTCCTCTGCCCTTGTCCACCCCACGGCTGTCCTTTGTCCTTTGTCCACCACCACGACTGTCCTCTGCCCTTTGTCCACCACCACGGCTGTCCTCTGCCCTTTGTCCACCACCATGGCTGTCCTCTGCCCTTTGTCCTCCACCACGGCTGTCCTCTGCCCTTTGTCCACCATCACGGCTGTCCTCTGCCCTTTGTTGTCCTCTGCCCTTTGTCCACCACCACGGCTGTCCTCTGCCCTTTGTCCACCACCACGGCTGTCCTCTGCCCTTTGTCCACCACCACGGCTGTCCTCTGCCCTTTGTCCACCACCACGGCTGTCCTCTGCCCTTTGTCCTCCACCACGGCTGTCCTCTGCCCTTTGTCCACCACCACGGCTGTCCTCTGCCCTTTGTCCACCACCACGATGTCAGGTTGGTTCATTACCATTCGGTCGGTCTGTATCTGGAAGTCCCACAGGATCTTCGCTCATTCTCCACCACCTTTGGAGGAGTTTCTTAGACCTTGGGGTTTCCAGCCCATACTCTGCACAGATGTTTCTGTACACTATGCCAGCCACTTGGTTATGGCGTTCCATGTAGGCCTTCCCTGCAGCATCTTGCACCCTGCAGTTATGTGTTGGATCGTCTCAGGTGCCTCTTTGCACAACCGACACCTTGGGTCTTGTCTGGTGTGGTATATCTGGGCCTCTATCGCTCTGGTGCTCAGGGCCTGTTCCTGTGCAGCCATGATGAGTGCCTCTGTGCTGTCCTGTAGGCCAGCCCTTTCTAGCCATTGGTAGGACTTCTTGAGATATTGTATATATATATATATATATATATATATATATATATATATATATATATATATATATATATATATATACAATATATATAACTATATATATATATATACAATATATATAGGTATTTTTAGTATAATCACAAAAGGGCTGAGCTAAAACTATTTTAAGATAATGGTAATGAACTTTGGGACGAGTGTTGGAGGTTTTGTGAATGGAAGAATGAACAGAGACTGTTTAATGGTTAATGTTTGTATAACTATGATATAACTATGTATATATATATATATATATATATATATATATATATATATATATATTATATATATATACTAGACAAAACTATAATCCATCTGTAATTATAGATTTTACATTATGCAAGATAAAATGATTCAATAACTGCCGATGAACTGGAGCTGTTAAATAATACGGACGAGAACAAATCTGGGTTTAAGTAGAGCGCCCTCTACTGGACAAACAAGGAACAAAACAAGAGTCTGAACATTCAGGAGTTACAGCCGCGGACATTTAGGGACTTTTGTTTTAAGGACCATCCTGTAAAGACGTTTTCCCGAGGTAAGAAGATGCTATATGTTAGCATTGGCTAATTCTTATTCTGGGTCCACCCCCACAGGCTCGGGGTGGTACTGCAGCATGTCAGTGCACGTCATTTTGGCCACTTTTGAGCTGGGACCCGCCCACACTGGTCTGATCCCACCATTATGGAAACACATCCTCTGGTCCCGTCTTGTAGAGGGGGGACCACCCCGGTCTGAGGGGGACCGCCCCGGTCTGAGAGGGACCACTCTGGTCTGAGGGGGACCGCCCCGGTCTGAGAGTGACCAACCTGGTCTGAGGGGGATCGCCCCGGTCTGAGAGTGACCAACCTGGTCTGAGGGGGACCGCCCCGGTCTGAGAGTGACCAACCTGGTCTGAGGGGGACCAACCTGGTCTGCCACTCCTTTGGCACTGATCCCACACGATGTTGCAGAGCCCTGTCAGAGAGAGTCCTAAACATCAGAAACTTTAGAGTCGGACTGTAGAGTCGGACTGTAGAGTCGGACTTTAGAGTCGGACTGTAGAGTCGGACTGTAGAGTCGGACTGTAGAGTCAGACTGTAGAGTCGGACTGTAGAGTCGGACTTTAGAGTCGGACTGTAGAGTCGGACTTTAGAGTCGGACTGTAGAGTCGGACTGTAGAGTCAGACTGTAGAGTCGGACTTTAGAGTCGGACTGTAGAGTCGGACTTTAGAGTCGGACTGTAGAGTCAGACTGTAGAGTCAGACTGTAGAGTCAGACTGTAGAGTCGGACTGTAGAGTCGGACTGTAGAGTCGGACTGTAGAGCCGGACTTTAGAGTCGGACTGTAGAGTCGGACTGTAGAGTCGGACTGTAGAGTCAGACTGTAGAGTCGGACTGTAGAGTCAGACTGTAGAGTCAGACTGTAGAGTCAGACTGTAGAGTCAGACTGTAGAGTCGGACTGTAGAGTCGGACTGTAGAGCCGGACTTCAGAGTCGGACTGTAGAGTCGGACTGTAGAGTCGGACTGTAGAGTCGGACTGTAGAGCTGGACTTTAGAGTCCTGTTACGTGAAAAACAATACTTTGCATTTAAATCTGATGGAAGGCTTCAAAACAGCATCAAGAAATATTATTTTCCTACAAACCTAACTTTAAGGAGTTTCGAGTTTATCAAAACATGGAAAATGAAGAAGTTGGATTAAACATCTTCTTCTACAGAGAGAGTGAGGAACAGGAATCTGCTGCAGGAAGACAGTCTCTACAGTCTCTACAGTCTCTACAGTCTCTACAGTCTACAGTCTCTACAGTCTCTACAGTCACTACAGTCTCTACAGTCTCTACAGTCTACAGTCTCTACAGTCTCTACAGTCTCTACAGTCTACAGTCTCTACAGTCTCTACAGTCTCTACAGTCTCTACAGTCTCTACAGTCTCTACAGTCTCTACAGTCTCTACAGTCTCTACAGTCTACAGTCTCTACAGTCTCTACAGTCACTACAGTCTCTACAGTCTCTACAGTCTACAGTCTCTACAGTCTCTACAGTCTCTACAGTCTACAGTCTACAGTCTCTACAGTCTACAGTCTCTACAGTCTCTACAGTCTACAGTCTCTACAGCAGGGTGTCAAACCGGTCCTCAAAGGGCGATGTGGCTGCAGGTTTTAGTTCCAACTTGAGCAGGAGCACACCAGACTCCACCCATTTCCTCAGGTAAGACCATTTTCACCTTAAGATTTGAGGAAATGGGTGGAGTCTGGTGTGCTCCTGCTCAAGTTGGAACTAAAACCTGCAGCCACATCGGCCCTTTGAGGACCGGTTTGACACCCCTGCTCTACAGTCTCTACAAATCTCTACAGTCTACAGTCTCTACAGTCTCTACAGTCTACAGTCTCTACAGTCTCTACCGTCTCTATCGTCTCTACAGTCTCTACAGTCTCTACAGTCTCTATCGTCTCTACAGTCTCTACAGTCTCTACAGTCTCTACCGTCTCTACAGTCTCTACAGTCTCTACAGTCTCTACAGTCCTCTACAGTCTCACAGTCTCTACAGTCTCTACAGTCTCTACCGTCTCTATCGTCTCTACAGTCTCTACAGTCTCTACAGTCTCTACAGTCACTACACTCTCTACAGTCTCTACAGTCACTACAGTCTCTACAGTCTCTACAGTCTCTACAGTCTCTACAGTCTACAGTCTCTACAGTCTCTACAGTCTCTACCGTCTCTATCGTCTCTACAGTCTCTACAGTCTCTACAGTCTACAGTCTCTACAGTCTCTACAGTCTCTACCGTCTCTATCGTCTCTACAGTCTCTACAGTCTCTACAGTCACTACACTCTCTACAGTCACTACACTCTCTACAGTCTCTACAGTCTCTACAGTCTCTACAGTCTCTACCGTCTCTATCGTCTCTACAGTCTCTACAGTCTCTACAGTCTCTACAGTCTCTACAGTCTACAGTCTCTACAGTCTCTACAGTCTACAGTCTCTACAGTCTCTACAGTCTCTACCGTCTCTATCGTCTCTACAGTCTCTACAGTCTCTACAGTCTCTACAGTCACTACACTCTCTACAGTCTCTACAGTCACTACAGTCTCTACAGTCTACAGTCTACAGTCTCTACAGTCTCTACAGTCTCTACAGTCTCTACAGTCTACAGTCTCTACAGTCTCTACAGTCTCTACCGTCTCTATCGTCTCTACAGTCTCTACAGTCTCTACAGTCTCTACAGTCTACAGTCTCTACAGTCAGTCTACAGTCTCTACAGTCTACATTCTCTACAGTCTCCTACAGTCTACAGTCTCTACAGTCTCTACAGTCTCTACAGTCTCTACAGTCTACACTACAGTTCTCTACGTCTCTACAGTCTACACAGTCTCTCTACATCTCTACAGTCTACAGTCTCTACTACAGTCTCTACATCTCTACAGTCTCTACAGTCTACACTACAGTCTCTACAGTCACTACAGTCTCTACAGTCTCTACAGTCTCTACAGTCTCTACAGTCTCTACAGTCTACAGTCTCTCACCGTCTCTACATTCTACGTCTCTACTAGTCTCTACAGTCTACAGTCTCTACAGTCTACAGTCTCTACACTACAGTCTCTACAGTCTCTACAGTCTACTGTCTACAGTCTACAGTCCAGTCTCTACAGTCACTACTACAGTCTCTACAGTCTACAGTCTCTACAGTCTCTACAGTCTACAGTCTCTACGGTCTCTACAGTCTCTACAGTCTCTACAGTCTACAGTCTCTACCAGTCTCTACAGTCTACAGTCTCTACAGTCTACAGTCTCTACAGTCTCTACAGTCTCTACAGTCTACAGTCTCTACAGTCTCTACAGTCTCTACAGTTCTACAGTCTCTACAGTCTACAGTACCTCTACAGTCTACACAGTCTCTACAGTCTCTACAGTCTCTACAGTCTACAGTCTCTACAGTCTCTACAGTCTCTACAGTCTCTACAGTCTACAGTCTCTACAGTCTCTACAGTCTACAGTCTCTACAGTCTCTACAAGTCTCTACAGTCTCTACAGTCTCTACAGTCTCTACAGTCTACAGTCTCTACAGTCTCTACAGTCTACAGTCTCTACAGTCTACAGTCTCTACAGTCTACAGTCTCTACAGTCTACAGTCTCTACAGTCTACAGTCTCTACAGTCTCTACAGTCTCTACAGTCTCTTAGTCTCTACAGTCTCTACAGTCACAGTCTACAGTCTCTACAGTCTCTACAGTCACTACAGTCTCTACAGTCTCTACAGTCTCTACAGTCTACAGTCTCTACAGTCTCTACATTCTCTACAGTCTCTACAGTCTCTACAGTCTACAGTCTCTACAGTCTCTACAGTCTCTACAGTCTACAGTCTCTACAGTCTCTACAGTCTACAGTCTCTACACAGTCTCTACAGTCTCTACAGTCTCTACAGTCTACAGTCTCTACAGTCTACAGTCTCTACAGTCTCTACATTCTCTACAGTCTCTACAGTCTTCTACAGTCTACAGTCTCTACAGTCTCTACAGTCTACAGTCTCTACAGTCCTACAGTCTACAGTCTCTACAGTCTCTAGTCTACAGTCTCTACAGTCTCCACAGTCTCTACAGTACTTACAGTCTCTACAGTCTCTACAGTCTCTACAGTCTCTACAGTCTACAGTCTCTACAGTCTACAGTCTACAGTCTCCACAGTCCTCTACAGTCTCTACAGTCTACAGTCTCTACAGTCTCTACAGTCTACAGTCTCTACAGTCTCTACAGTCTACAGTCTCTACAGTCTCTACAGTCTCTACAGTCTCTACAGTCTCTACAGTCTCTACAGTCTCTACAGTCTACAGTCTCAGACAGTCTCTACAGTCTCTACAGTCTACAGTCTCTACAGTCCACTACAGTCTCTACAGTCCCTCTACAGTCTACAGTCTCTACAGTCTCTACAGTCTCTACAGTCTCTACAGTCTACAGGTCTCTACAGTCTACAGTCTCTACAGTCTACAGGCTCTACAGTCTCTACAGTCTCTACAGTCACTTCAGTCTCTACAGTCTCTACAGTCACTACAGTCTCTACAGTCTCTACAGTCTACAGTCTCTACAGTCTCTAGTCTACAGTCTCTACAGTCTCTACAGTCCTACGTCTCTACAGTCTCTACAGTCTCTACAGTCTCTACAGTCTACAGTCTCTACAGTCTCTACTACAGTCTCTACAGTCTCTACAGTCACTACAGTCTCTACAGTCTCTACAGTCTACAGTCTCTACAGTCTCTACAGTCTCTACACAGTCTCTACAGTCTCTACAGTCTCTACAGTCTCTACAGTCTCTACAGTCTACAGTCTCTACAGTCTACAGTCTCTACAGTCTCTACCAGTCTCTACAGTCACTCAAACAGTCTCTACAGTCTCTACAGTCTCTACAGTCTCTACAGTCTCTACAGTCTCTACAGTCTCTACAGTCTCTACAGTCTCTACAGTCTCTACAGTATCTACAGTCTCTACAGTCTCTACAGTCTCTACAGTCTCTACAGTTCTACAGTCTACAGTCTACTTACAGTCTCTACAGTCTCCTAACAGTCTCTACAGTCTCTACAGTCTACAGTCTCTACAGTCTCTACAGTCTCTACAGTCACTTCAGTCTCTACAGTCACTACAGTCTCTACAGTCTCTACAGTCTACAGTCTCTACAGTCTACTACAGTCTACAGTCTCTACAGTCTCTACAGTCTCTACAGTCACTACAGTCTCTACAGTCTCTACAGTCTACAGTCTCTACAGTCTCTACAGTCTCTACAGTCTACAGTCTCTACAGTCTCTATAGTCTCTACAGTCTCTACAGTCACTACAGTCTCTACAGTCACTAGAGTCAGACTGTAGAGTCGGACTGTAGAGTCGGACTTTAGAGTCGGACTGTAGAGTCGGACTGTAGAGTCAGACTGTAGAGTGCGGACTTTAGGTCGGACTGTAGAGTCGGGACTTTAGAGTCGGACTGTAGAGTCAGACTGTAGAGTCAGACTGTAGAGTCAGACTGTAGAGTCGGACTGTAGAGTCGGACTGTAGAGTCGGACTGTAGAGCCGGACTTTAGAGTCGGACTGTAGAGTCGGACTGTAGAGTCGGACTGTAGAGTCGGACTGTAGAGTCGGACTGTAGAGTCAGACTGTAGAGTCAGACTGTAGAGTCAGACTGTAGAGTCGGACTGTAGAGTCGGACTGTAGAGCCGGACTTCAGAGTCGGACTGTAGAGTCGGACTGTAGAGTCGGACTGTAGAGTCGGACTGTAGAGTCGGACTGTAGAGTCGACTGTAGAGTCGGACTGTAGAGTCGGACTGTAGACTTCGGACTGTAGAGAGGACCTGTAGAGTCAGAATCGGTAGAGTCGGACTGTAGAGTCAGGACTGTAGAGTCAGACTGTAGAGTCTGACTGTAGTCGGACTGTAGAGTCGGACTGTAGAGCGGACTTCAGAGTCGGACTGTAGAGGCGGACTTCAGAGTCGGACTGTAGAGTCGGACTGTAGAGTCGGACTGTAGAGTCGGACTGTAGAGCTGGACCCTTTAGAGTCCTGTACGTGAAAAACAATACTTTGCATTTAAATCTGATGAAAGGGCTTTCAAAACAGCATCAAGAAATATTATTTTCCTACAAACCTAACTTTAAGGAGTTTCGAGTTTATCAAAACATGGGAAAATGAAGAAGTTGGAATTAAACATCTTCTTCTACAGAGAGAGTGAGGACAGGAATTCTGCTGCAGGCAGACAGTCTCTACAGTCTCTACAGTCTCTACAGTCTCTACAGTCTCTACAGTCTCTACAGTCTCTACAGTCTCTACACGTCTCTACAGTCTCTACAGTCTCTACAGTCTCTACAGTCTCTAACAGTCTCTACAGGCTAACTGTCTCTAACAGTCTCTAGTCTCTAAAGTCTCTACATCTCTACAGTCTCTACAGTCTCTACAGTCTCTAAGCACGTCTGCTAACAGTCTCTCAAAGGGCTACGATGTCTCTACAGTCTCTACAGTCTCTACACGTCTATACAGTCTCTAACAGTCTCTACAGTCTCTACAGTCTTAACAGTCTCTACAGTCTCTACAGATCTACAGTCTCTAAATGGGTCTAACAGTCTACAGTCTCTACAGTCTCTAACGTCATTTACAGTCTTCTACAGTCTCTAACAGTCTCTACAGTCTCTGACAGTCCCCAGTCTCTAACAGTCTCTACAGTCTCTACAGTCTCTACAGTCTCTAACAGTCTCTACAGTCTCTAACAGTCTTTAAACACGTCTCTTACAGTCTCTACCGTCTCTAACAGTCTCTAACAGTCACTACAAGTCTCTAAAACAGTCTCTCACTCGTCTCTACAGTCTCTCAACAGTCTCTAACAGTCTCTACCGTCTCTAACAGTCTCTAACAGTCTCTAACACGTCTCTAAACAGTCTCTACAGTCTCTACAGTCTCTACACGTCTCTACAGTCACGTCTCTAACAGTCTCTAACAGTCTCTAACAGTCTCTAACAGTCTCTATCAGTCTCTACACGTCTCTAACAGTCTCTAACAGTCTCTACAGTCTCTACAGTCTCTACAGTCTCTTACAGTCTACTAAACAGTCTCTACAGTCTCTACAGTCTCTACAGTCTCTAACAGTCTCTACACGTCTCTAAACACGTCTCTACAGTCTCTACAGTCTCTAAACGTCTCTAACAGTCTCTACAGTCTCTAACAGTCTCTACACCGTCAAAACAGTCTCTAACAGTCTCTACAGTCTCTACAGTCTCTAACAGTCTCTAACAGTCTCTCACAGTCTCTAACAGGTCTCTAACAGTCTTAACACACTCTAAAACAGTCTCTAACAGTCTCTAACAGTCTCTACACGTCTCTAACACGTCTCTAACAGTCTCTACAGTCTCTACAGTCTCTACACGTCTCTAACAGTCTCTAACAGTCCTCTACAGTCTCTAACAGTCTCTAACAGTCTCTAACAGTCTCTCTAACAGTCTCTAACAGTCTCTACAGTCTCTAACAGTCTCTAACAGTCTCTACAGTCTCTAACAGTCTCTCACAGTCTCTACAACAGTCTCTACAGTCTCTAACAGTCTCTAACAGTCTCTACAGTCACAGTCTCTAACAGTCTCTAACAGTCTAACAGTCTCTAACAGTCTCTAACAGTCTCTAAGTCTCTAACAGTCTCTAACACGTCTCTAACAGTCTCTACAGTCTCTAACAGTCTCTACCAGTCTCTACAGTCTCTACAGTCTCTAAACAGTCTCTACAGTCTCTAACAGTCTCTAACACGTCTCTAACAGTCTCTAACAGTCTCTAACAGTCTCTAACAGTCTCTAACAGTCTCTAACAGTCTCTAACAGTCTCTAACAGTCTCTAACACGTCTCTAACAGTCTCTAACAGTCTCTAACACGTCTCTAACAGTCTCTAACAGTCTCTAACAGTCTCTAACAGTCTCTAACAGTCTCTAACAGTCTCTAACAGTCTCTAAAGTCTCTAACAGTCTCTAACAGTCTCTAACAGTCTCTAACAGTCTCTAACAGTCTCTAACAGTCTTAACAGTCTCTAACAGTCTCTAACAGTCTCTAACAGTCTCTAACAGTCTCTAACAGTCTCTAACAGTCTCTAACAGTCTCTAACAGTCTCTAACAGTCTCTAACAGTCTCTAACACGTCTCTAACAGTCTCTAACAGTCTCTAACAGTCTCTAACAGTCTCTAACAGTCTCTAACAGTCTCTAACAGTCTCTAACAGTCTCTAACAGTCTCTACAGTCTCTAACAGTCTCTAACAGTCTCTAACAGTCTCTAACAGTCTCTAACAGTCTCTAACACGTCTCTAACACGTCTCTAACAGTCTCTAACAGTCTCTAAATCTCTAACAGTCTCTAACAGTCTCTAACACGTCTCTAACAGTCTCTAACAGTCTCTAACAGTCTCTAACAGTCTCTAACAGTCTCTAACAGTCTCTAACAGTCTCTAACAGTCTCTAACAGTCTCTAACAGTCTCTAACAGTCTCTAACAGTCTCTAACAGTCTCTAACAGTCTCTAACAGTCTCTAACACGTCTCTAACAGTCTCTAACACGTCTCTAACAGTCTCTAACAGTCTCTAACACGTCTCTAACAGTCTCTAACAGTCTCTAACAGTCTCTAACACGTCTCTAACAGTCTCTAACAGTCTCTAACAGTCTCTAACAGTCTCTCTCTAACACGTCTCTAACAGTCTCTAACAGTCTCTACAACTCTAACCGTCTCTAACACGTCTCTAACAGTCTCTAACAGTCTCTAACAGTCTCTAACAGTCTCTAACAGTCACAGTCTCTAACAGTCTCTAACAGTCTCTAACACGTCTCTAACAGTCTCTAACAGTCTCTAACAGTCTCTAACAGTCTCTAACAGTCTCTAACAGTCTCTAACAGTCTCTAACAGTCTACAGTCTCTACAGTCTCTAACAGTCTCTAACAGTCTCTAACAGTCTCTAACAGTCTCTAACACGTCTCTAACAGTCTCTAACAGTCTCTAACAGTCTCTAACACGTCTCTAACAGTCTCTAACACGTCTCTAACAGTCTCTAACACGTCTCTAACAGTCTCTAACAGTCTCTAACAGTCTCTAACACGTCTCTAACAGTCTCTAACAGTCTCTAACAGTCTCTAACAGTCTCTAACAGTCTCTAACAGTCTCTAACACGTCTCTAACGTCTCTAACAGTCTCTAACAGTCTCTAACAGTCTCTAACAGTCTCTAACAGTCTCTAACAGTCTCTAACAGTCTCTAACAGTCTCTAACAGTCTCTAAACAGTCTCTAACAGTCTCTAACAGTCTCTAACACGTCTCTAACTCGTCTCTAACAGTCTCTAACAGTCTAACAGTCTCTAACAGTCTCTAACACGTCTCTAACAGTCTCTAACAGTCTCTAACAGTCTCTAACACGTCTCTAACAGTCTCTAACACGTCTCTAACAGTCTCTAACAGTCTCTAACAGTCTCTAACAGTCTCTAACACGTCTCTAACAGTCTCTAACAGTCTCTAACAGTCTCTAACAGTCTCTAACAGTCTCTAACAGTCTCTAACACGTCTCTAACAGTCTCTAACAGTCTCTAACAGTCTCTAACAGTCTCTAACAGTCTCTAACAGTCTTACAGTCTAACAGTCTCTAACAGTCTCTAACAGTCTCTAACAGTCTCTAACAGTCTCTAACAGTCTCTAACAGTCTCTAACAGTCTCTAACAGTCTCTAACAGTCTCTAACAGTCTCTAACAGTCTCTAACAGTCTCTAACACGTCTCTAACAGTCTCTAACAGTCTCTAACAGTCTCTAACAGTCTCTAACAGTCTCTAACAGTCTCTAACAGTCTCTAACAGTCTCTAACAGTCTCTAACAGTCTCTAACACGTCTCTAACAGTCTCTAACAGTCTCTAACAGTCTCTAACAGTCTCTAACAGTCGTAACACGTCTCTAACAGTCTCTAAACAGTCTCTAACAGTCTCTAACAGTCTCTAACAGTCTCTAACACGTCTCTACAGTCTCTAACAGTCTCTAACACGTCTCTAACAGTCTCTAACAGTCTCTAACAGTCTCTAACAGTCTCTAACAGTCTCTAACAGTCTCTAACACGTCTCTAACAGTCTCTAACAGTCTCTACAGTCTCTAACAGTCTCTAACAGTCTCTAACACGTCTCTAACAGTCTCTAACAGTCTCTAACAGTCTCTAACAGTCTCTAACACGTCTCTAACAGTCTCTACAGTCTCTAACAGTCTCTACAGTCTCTAACAGTCTCTAACACGTCTCTAACAGTCTCTAACAGTCTCTAACAGTCTCTAACACGTCTCTAACAGTCTCTAACAGTCTCTAACACGTCTCTAACAGTCTCTAACAGTCTCTAACAGTCTCTAACAGTCTCTAACAGTCTCTAACAGTCTCTAACAGTCTCTAAGTCTCTAACAGTCTCTAACAGTCTCTAACACGTCTCTAACAGTCTCTAACAGTCTCTAACAGTCTCTAACAGTCTCTAACACGTCTACTCTAACAGTCTCTAACAGTCTCTAACAGTCTCTACACAGTCTCTAACACGTCTCTAACAGTCTCTAACAGTCTCTAACAGTCTCTAACAGTCTCTAACAGTCTCTAACAGTCTCTAACACGTCTCTAACAGTCTCTAACACGTCTCTAACAGTCTCTAACAGTCTCTAACAGTCTCTAACACGTCTCTAACACGTCTCTAACAGTCTCTACAGTCTCTAACAGTCTCTAACACGTCTCTAACAGTCTCTAACAGTCTCTAACAGTCTCTACAGTTCTAACAGTCTCTAACAGTCTCTAACAGTCTCTAACACGTCTCTAACAGTCTCTAACAGTCTCTAACAGTCTCTAACAGTCTCTAACAGTCTCTAACAGTCTCTAACAGTCTCTAACAGTCTCTAACAGTCTCTAACAGTCTCTAACAGTCTCTAACAGTCTCTAACAGTCTCTAACAGTCTCTAACAGTCTCTAACACGTCTCTAACCGTCTCTAACAGTCTCTAACAGTCTCTAACAGTCTCTAACAGTCTCTAACAGTCTCTAACA